CAAAAAACTGTCAAAAATAAGAAGACAGTATGTTCCCCTCAATTTAAACTATGTTACAAAGTAACAGTAATTGAAACAAAAATAGCCACATAGACTAATGGACTAGAGAGCCCCAAAGCAAATACACACATATACAGAGATGATCTAATCTATGACAAAGGAGCCTAGTTCATTCAAGGAGAAGGCTCAAATGATGGTGAAAGTGTAGAGAAAAAGGAAGCCTGGCACATTGTTTGTGGACAGGTAAATTAGTGATGCCTGTATAGAAACGAGCATGGATAGTCATTAAAAAATATAGATGGCAATTCCATATGATCCAGCAATAGATACTTCTCCTGGCATCTATCTGAAGGAAATGAAACATTTGGGTTTTTTCCTAATGAAACAGTGAGATACATAGTCACAAAGCTGTTTATGATTTAGGTCTCAGTCATACAGTTCCAACACCCATCCCCTCACAAGTGTATATTTCCTACCACTAGTGTCCCCAGTTCCCCTCCCCTCCCCCACCTGTCTCTATGGTAGGCATCCTGCTCCCTTTTGCAGATTATGGTTTGAATACAGATACTGAAAGGTTATCATGTATATCCCTTACTTTCAATGCTTAGTTATTGTCAGAGTGTCCAAATTTCTTGTCCACATTTATAACTATTTTAACTATTATTGTCTACTGTTCTGTTCCCTATTCTAAATACCCTTAGCACTCACTTGTGGCAAGCTTCCAACCCTTGGCCAGTCCTCCTGGACCCTGTTTTTCTTGGCCTTGGATCTTAGTCTCATATTATTATTATTATTATTTTTTGCTTTTTGGGTCACACCCAGCGATGCTCAGGGGTTACTCCTGGCTCATGCACTCAGGAATTGCTCCTGGCAGTGCTCAGGGGACCATATGGGGTGCTGGGAATCGAACTTGTGTCGGTCATGTTGGTTGCGTGCAAAGCAAACGCCCTACCCACTGTGCTATTGTTCCAGCCCTCATACTATTTTTTTACACCCCCAAAATTGGTGTAATCATTCTTTATCTGACTCTCTCCTTTTAACTCATTTCACTTGGCATGATACTCTCCATGTCCATCCATTATTAAGAAAATGTCATGACTTCATTTCTATCAACTGTGTAGTATTCTATCGTGTAGATGTCCCATTGTTTCTTTTTCCATCTGTTTCTTGTTCCCTCTTTCTTTATCATCTGTTCCCGAGCACTTGGGTTGAAACACTATTTTGAAAGGGCATTTTCATTCCTATGTTCATAGCATCATTACCCACAAAAAATGAAACTATGGAAGAAATCTAAGAGCCCATGCAACAACTGATTTAGAGAAGTTGTGGTATATATAGTCAAAGGAGTACTACTCTGTCATTTACAGAGAAGAAGCCATATCCCTGGGAAAATGAATAGGATTTGATGTGCTAATGATAAGTAACATAGGACAATAAAAGACAATTACAGAATGTTTTCAATCATACGTAGAATATAAATAACCAAAAAATGGGGAAAGTCACCAAAACTAACTCCTAGAGTTGGTAAAAACTGAAGTGTTTATTGAAGGAAAAGGGTTGGGTGTGTGGGAGCACTGTGTAAGGGGGATTGCCATCACTGACACACTAGTGATGGGTGCCTCAACACAATGGAAGTGTTAAGCTATATATCCAACTATAAAATTGTGAATGAATGAAAATCAATTAAGAACAAACTGCAGAAAAAAAACCTGCCAGGGAAAACACCCCTGAAGGAGCTGATGATAGGATGCGGCTGCCTGCTGACCGTAAACAGGCAGTGAGTTCTGATCTGAAAGAGTGGGATTCCAATAAACCGAGATCATTACATAGAACAGGAGCAACACAGGTGGGCTGGTCCTTGAGACAGAGCAAGTAAATGGCAAACTGAGTTCAACTTTATCCACCTGTGCCCACCAGCAACCAAGGAATTAAATAGAAGAATTCAAATGTTAGATGAGTTAGTATTGCAAGCTGACTTCATCTATCCAGAGAGTAACAGATGTCAGTTTTGTTGTAAATGGGTCTGGGAAAAGAATCATTTACTGACAAACTAATATAAAACAATCTGGGATTTCGCGTGAAAGACATTTTTCTAGTCAGAATAAATGCCTGATTATACTTAAGGATCATGGCTTAAATTTGACATAATTGTTATTCTTTTGTTTTGCTGACACAAATCATTCTTCTAATTTTACTTAGGTAAACTCAAAATGACTTATTTTGAATATTAGGAATGTTTGAATGTCTAGGAAGTGACACTGTTTAACTCTAGATTGGTTATGCCAATATGAGAAAAAAATTGCTATTTCATCCAACAATTTGGATGAATGAAAGAAGTAATTGAAATAGATACTGAAATAGATACTGATGCTTTCTTGCTTTGCAAAAGTCAGGAATTTATAACATTTGCTTCATTAGTGTGACTTAAATAAGTTCCTAGAATTTTAGACACTGCAATAACCTATTACAAAACACAGTCTAAAAATATAAGTAATCTTTGGATACTAGTCACACTTCTTTCTTGCTAGGGAATTATCATGAGCTAATTAAATATAATTAAACATGTACTAGACTCTAATGTTCATGTTTTACATCAGCAAGCATAAGATTTTGAGAGTGATACCATCCCTTGTTAATGCACTTAATAAAAACAATTTATCTACTTGGTGAGTTGGGTATTTAAGCTTCTATTAGATTGTTGTCTAGATATTTGCATGAGTCTTACTCCTGTAGATCTGAGTGAACTGGGCAATGCCATTTAACTAAGCATAATGAATTGGAAACATGAAAAGAACCAGAAGGAGGGAGATCAACTGCTAATTTCTCTTCTTATTTAAATAACTTATTGTCAGATTCTTAACAGATGCAGATATTTACAAATATCAAGCAATTCTTGGGAAAAAGAAAATGGGACGAATCAACCTCCCTAACTTCAAACTCTACTACAAGGCAGTAATAATTAAAACAGCATGGTACTGGAACAAAGGCAGAGCTGTAGACCAATGGAACAGGGTTGAATATACTGATGTTCCCCCCCCCCGCCCCCCAGCATACGAGCATCTAATCTTCGATAAGGGGGCAAGAAAAGTGAAGTGGAGCAGGGAAAGCCTCTTTAACAAATTATGCTGGCAAAACTGGATGGCTATATGCAAAAAAATGGGCTCAGATCTCTGCCTAACACCGTGTACAAAAGTAAGATCTAAGTGGATTAAAGACCTCAACATCAGACCAGAATCTATAAGATACATTAAGGAAAATGTTGGCAAAACCCTTCATGACATAGAAGCTAATAGTGTCTTCAAAGATGTCACACCGCTGGCCAAGCAAGTGAAAACAGAGATAGATAAATGGGACTATCTTAAACTAAGAAGCTTCTGCACCTCAAAAGAAACAGTGACCAAAATACAAAGACAGTTAACTGAATGGGAAAGGATATTCGCCAACTACACATCTGATAAGGGGTTAACTTCAAGGATATACAAAATACTGGTTCAACTCCACAAAAAGAAAACATTCAACCCCATCAAAAAATGGGGAGATGAAATGAATAGAAACTTTGACAAAGAAGAAATCCGAATGGCTAAAAGACACATGAGAAAATGTTCCACATCATTAATCATCAGGGAGATGCAGATCAAAACCACAATGAGGTATCACCTCACGCCACAGAGACTGGCCCATATCCACAAGAACAAAAGCAACCTGTGCTGGTGCGGATGTGGTGAGAAAGGAACACTCCTTCACTGTTGGTGGGAATGCTGACTGGTTCAGCCCTTCTGGAAAACAGTATGGATGATTCTCAAAAAACTAGAAATTGAGCTCCCATTTGACCCAGCAATACCAATCTTGGGAATATATCCCAGAGAGGCAAAAAAGTATAGCTGAAGTGACATCTGCAATTGTCTGTTTATTGCAGCACTCTTTACAATAGCCAGAATCTGGAAAAAACCTGAGTGCCCGAGAACAGATGACTGGTTGAAGAAACTCTGGCACATTTACACAATGGAGTACTATGTAGCTGTTAGAAAAGACGAAGTCATGAAGTTTACATACAAGTGGTACTACATGGAAAGTATCATGTTAAGCGAAATGACTCAGAAAGAAAGGGATAGACATAGAAAGATTGCATTCATCTGGGGAACATAAAGTAACAAAATAGGAAACTAACACCCAAGTATGGCAGAGATTAGTACCAGGAATTTTACTCAGTGACCCGGAGGACAACCACACATGTTAGGGGAAGGGGGAGCTCAGAAAGAGCAGGGAACACCAAATAAAGGGTGTTGGGAGGATCCGCCCACGATGGGAGAGCATGCTGAGGGTAGACTGTTGACCAAGCATGATTGCCACTCACTGCCTCTTTTGCAGACCATGGCACTCAAAAGGAGAGAGAGGGAAATGCCCTGCCACAGAGGCAGGGTGGGATAGGGGCTGGTGGGGTAGGGTATGCTGGGATCCGTGGTGGTGGGAAATGCGCACTGGTGGAGGGATGGGTGTTTGATCATTGTATAATCGAAACCCAAGCACAAAAATGTGTAAGTCTACAACTGTACCTCATGGTGCCTCACTATTAAAAAATAAATAAATATTAAAAAAAAGGTACTTGTGAAATTGTAAACTGGAAAACCAAGCAATTATGGTCATAAATCACCAAGGCTATGTACGGGAAGTGTTTTGTAAAATGAGAGTGAACAACTACATTTATATTTTTACTCAACAATTCATGTTTATCAGGATCTTTTAATGAATTAAGACTATATATCTCAATTTAATAAACTCAGTTTAGAAAAGTAAACAAACAAACAAAACAACTTAAAACTTTCAGAGATATTTGTGGATCTATTTCATATTAAGTTATAAAATTTCAGCTCCAATTTTACTCAAAAGTTTCAAAATAGGGAAAAGAAAAAAAGAAATTGATGTGGAAGTGCAACACAATTATGAAATGGATAAAAGCATTTGTAGTTTTGACAGAATGAAAAGGAACTTGTGATCATTACCTGAGTCTTTTCCGTTCCTCTTGGGTATCCCACTGGGTCTGGGCCTACTTGGTCTTGTCCTATTCAGACCTACAGAAAAGTGGGAAAAATAGTTCAGGCATTGTCTTTTTAAAAGTCTGAAGGCAAACAAACAGCATACTTTCCAGAAAGTATGGAATTTACTTAAATGGGAAGTAAATAGTTTGTACCAAACAGAGGATCCCAAATGCAAGAAAACACTGTTCTGATATACAAATAATTAGACTTGAACTTGGGAATAGGATCTGACTTTCCTTCAAGGTGGTGGTCATGGGGTTTGAAGGAAAAACTGGCCAGAGAATTTATATTTTTGAAGCAACATTATTTCATTTATTAGCATTAGACATCTTCTGAGTTGGAACTAAAGATTAGAACTAGATATGCTTTATGAAAAACCCAATATGTGAAGTGTATTTGTTAAGGTCTTAATTCATAACTCATAAATTGGCAGTCTTTGCAGGTGTCTCTAGATTCACATACTCCTTTGGGATCTTGGCAGAAATTCACTGACGCAAAAATATGAGGAAATCATTGTACTATCTTTTGAGCGCTGCCAAAAGTTAATTAATTAACAAGATGTTAAACAGTTTCCTATCTTACTTTCTGTCTACAAGGTATTTTAAGAAAAAAAACACTAAGTATATTGTGGTTAAGAAAATTAATTTTGGGCTTTGAGTCTGATTGTTTAAAATTTCTTTTCTAGGTGTTTTGTTTTCTAGGTGTTTTGTTCCCATGCTAATTTCTATGCCCAATTATCTTTATGAGTTGTGAGATTACTACAATAAAATGGGCTATTCATAAACCAAAGAACATAAAATTTTTTTGTCCTTTTTACCATGTTCATGTTAATTTATAATGTCAATTGTATTACTCTTAATTTTAAGATTTTAAAAATCACAGCAAATAAATAAGTATAAAACTCCAGTCTTCGTCCCGGCTGTGCTTTAGCATAAGATCAATTTACATGGACCAAATTGACCTCTGAAAGTTAACTTTTTCCTAGGCAGATTCTGTGAAGAAGATTCTAGAACCTTTGAAGAATTAGTTAATTTAAACTACAATGTAAAATTAGCAATCAATTTCTGCTTATATAAAATATTTTCTTATTTCTTAGTCATCTGAAGCAATCAAGTCTAAATTTTTTTCCAGTATCTGAGTACTTTATTATATTGAAAGATGCTGCTTTTCTTATTTATTATGGTTAGGAAGTTTCACTAGTGTTAAAATGAGTATTGTAAAGTACTTATATATAAATCTACACTCTGCCATACAAAGTGCTCACAATGTTCTCAGTCCTGCTTCTCTCCTACTCTTCTCCCTGTTCTCTCTTCTCCCTTACTCCTTTAACCCTTTCGTTTTTTAAAAATTCTAATGCTAAGGGTCTGTCATTGTTCAATATTCTCTGTTGTTATATTTTGACCCTATATTGTTCCACAGATGATTGAGATCAGCTGGTATTTTCCATTCTGTCTCTCACTTCATTTAACATGATATTGCCAGTTCCATCTATGTTGAGGGAAAATGTAATATTTCAGTTTTTCTTACAACTTCATGTTTCACACACACACACACAAGTTCTTATTAATCTGCAGTTTGACATTTGGGTTGTTTCCATATTCTGGCTTTTGTACTAAGAGTTACAATGAGCATGGGTGTATGTATCCTTTCGAATTATTTTTTGTGTGTTCTGGGGCATCATGCTGACAAGTGGGATCACTGGGTTATTGGGAGTTCCATTCTGATGTTTTTGAGAAATCTCCACAGTACTTTCCATAGAGGTTGAACCAGATGACATTCTTACCAAAAAGAATGATAGTTCTTTTCACACCACATCACTGCCATTACTGGTTAATTCCAATATTTATATTTCATTCTCACTGGTGTGAAGTGATATTTCATTATTGTTTTGACTTATATTTTCTTAATAATCAGTGATAATAAGCACTTTTTCATATGCCTAATAGTACCTATATGTCTTCTTTGAGGAAATGTCTGTTCATTTCTTTGAATATTTGGATATTGGGTGGAGTTACTGGATTTTCTGCTATTGAACTTTGTAAGTGCTCTATACATCTTGGATATTAGCCCTTGTATGTATTGTGGGCAAATATTTTAACTCATTCAATAGAGTGTTCTTTAAATTTTATCTCCATCTTCTTTTCTATGCAGAAATTTTTAATTTGATGGAGATAAATATCATATAATTAATCAATTAAAGCAGAGAAGGCTTTTGGTAACATTCAACATTATTCAAGATCTTAAAAAAATAACCTCCAAAAACTAGGAATAGAAGTCACATACCTCAAGGTGGTAATAGTCTTCTACAACAAACCACAGCTAATATCTTACTCAATGGTAAAAAACTGAAATTATTCCTTCTCAGATGGGGAAGAAGGTAAGGCAAGGATGTCCTCTTTAATTTTTTAAATTTGCGTGTGTTTTTTTTTGGGGGGGGGCCACACTTTGTGGTGCTCAGAGCCCATTCATTGCTTTGTGTTCAGTGATCATCCCTGGTGAGCTTGAGAGACCATATGGGGTGCCTGAGATAAAATCCAGGTCTGCTGTGTGCAAACGCTCTACCTGTTGTACTCTCCCCAGCTCACCACTTAAAAGGATTAAGGATGTCAATATAAAAATTTTGGAAATTTATTTTTGTCACAGCAATCAGACAAGAAATCAAAGGAATTCAATTTGGAAAAGAAGTTAAACTATCGCTATTTGCATATCACATGAAAATATGTAAAGAAAATCCTAAAGACCCCTACCCAAAACTCCTAGAAACAACGAACCAATATAATCAAGTGCAGCAGGCTATAAAATCAACACACAAATATCTGTGGGATCTGGGGCTGGAGCATTATCACAGTGGGTAGGGCATTTGCCTTGCATGTATCTGACACGGGTTCAGTTCTCAGCATCCCATATGGTCTCCTGAGTGCCGCCAGGAATAATTCCTGAGTGCAGAGCCAGGAGTAACCCCAGTGCATCACTGGGTGTGATCCAAAAAGCAAAAAAAAAAAAAAAATAAATAAATAAAAATAAATCTGTGGGATTTGTCTGAAAATAATGAGCTAGAAGAGAAAGAAATAAAAAAAGACAACCCCCTTGGGGCTGGAGCAATAGCACAGTGGGTCGGGTGTTTGTCTTTCATGTGGCCAACCCGGGTTCGATTTCCAGCATCCCACATAGTCCCCTTAGCTCCTCCAGGGGAAATTCCTGAGTGCAGAGCCAGGAGTAACCCCTGTGCATTGCCAGGTGTGACCCAAAAAGCCAAAAAAAAAAAAGAAAAAAGAAAAAAAATAATCCCTTTCAAAAGAGTATCTAGAATCATCAAATATCCATGAATCAACTTAAAAAAGAAGGTGAAAGACTTGCACAGGGAAAACTATAAGGCACTATTGAAATAAATAGACAAGGATACCAGGAAATGGAAAAATATTACATTGTCAAAATGACTATCCTATCCAAAGCATCATGCAGATTTAATTCAATCCCCATTAAAGTTTTAAAGACATTCTTCAAAGACTTGAAAGCTCTCCTAAAATTTATATGAAACCAGGACTGGAGAAAGAGTACAATGGATAGAGTGTTTCCCTTGCATGTGGCCAATCCGGGTTCTATATTCGGCATCCCATCTGGTCCCTCAAGCACTGCCCGGAGTAATTTCTGAGTGCAGAGGCAGGAGTTACCCTTGAGCATCACCAGGTCTGACCCAAAAAGCCAAAAAAAATATATGGAATCATAAAAGATCCAGTATAGCCAAAGCAATTCTAAGAAAAAAGAAAGGTTGGGAGGCATTGAGTTTCCTGACTTTGAATTGTATTCTAAAGCTAGAGTAATTGAAACTATGTGGTATTAGAATGAACATAGGGCTATTGACCAATGAAGCAGAATTGGGAATCCTGAGGAAAATTCTCAGATTTATGGACGGTTAATCTATGACAAAAGAAATAATTACTATTTGCTCTCTAATGTTATTTATTATTGACTAAAGACCTTGAGATTTAACCAGAATACATAAAATACATGAAAGAAAACATAGGTAGAATCATTCAGGAAATAGACATCAGTGGTCTTCGGTGATATGACTCCAGGGGAAAAACCAACAAAACCAAAAATAAACAAGACTATTATTTGTTGTTGTTGTTTTTGAGTTATATCTGTCAATACTCAGGGTTGCTCCTGGCTCTGTTCTCAGGAATTACTTCTGACAGGGCTCAGAGGAGCATACGGGATGCAGGAGATTGAGCCAGGGTACACTGCATGCAAGATAAGAATCTGTCCACTGCATTCTCTCTCTGGCCCCTAAGCAAAACTATCTTTTCTTAAGAAATAAATAACATTAGAGAGCAAATAGTAATATATAACAACTATTTTATGACATCTTTATAAAGACATAAAAAGGGTGTATGCACGTGTATGATATGCATATAAACACTATTTTACGGATAAAGTTGCTTAATGGTCTTTTAATTTTGTCATTCATGCAGACCTCGATCAAATCTTTTCACCTTCCTGAATTCGTCATTATCTCTCCTTTTATCCACAAGGATCATAATTTCTGCAAGTCCTTACTTTAAATTTATATACACACACTTAGTAATTAGGTGCATTTGGCTAAATACATATATATTTATAAATGTTTGGCATATATCTTCCCACATGTGCTCATTATTAAATCATCATGAAGAGAAACAGTTTACCAGGTCTGATAAATGGTTTGTCAGGCCGGGGTCTCACAGGAGTAGTATACAATCTGTGTGGTGCTGAAACAGAAGAAACACTTCATATTTAATAACCAAAATTCCAAAGTCCACTGAATGGAGATTTAGCACCTTAGGGACTCTGCATGAATGTGAAAAGAATGTCCTGAAACTTTCAAATATACATTAACATCATTGGTACTACAAGAAAACCAAACAAATGAAAATAATGACTGGAAATTAAATAGTGTGAAATAAATAGTGTGAAATAAATCATTTGTAAAGTATTTTAAAGACTAGTTAACATTTAACTATACATGATTTTAAGATCATTTGTTTTACTAGATAATTTCTTAGTATGGCAAACAATTAAGCAATGGAACCATCCAATCATTTCTGGGCCCAATTATGCATCCCTCTTTGTGTGCTCATCTGCCTACATTCATGCGTCCATCCTACCATCCACATCTCTCTTTTAGGGAGTTATGACAACCATTACTTTTCCAAAAAAAGTAAACCTTTAAGGGAAAAGAAAAATAAATTTAGTTTGGTAAACAGAAAAACAGCCGGCACACATGGCCTTTATCAAATTGCCTTAGCAGGGAGTATAGATCAGAGGTAAAACATGTAACCAAAAATTGTTATAGTTTATGAAATCTGAAATGAGAATTCACTCAGTGATGCAATGTTTTAGGAAGGAGAGAAAATAATCTCTGGTTTCCTATCTATGAAAAGAGATGAATTCACACAAGTTAAGATGCCAGCGATCTTTGTACTTTCTGTTCCTGTTATTCAGAGTCTGGCACAGTAGAAATATTAAAGAAGATTTTCTGAATAAATTATACAATAAATAACCTGAAGTTAGGGGTGTGTTTTAGTGATAGTGCCTTGCATGCCTGAGGCACCAGGCTTAATCTTAATTGCCCCACAACACTAAATGGTGTCACAATCAGTGTACAAAACCCTGGAACCACCACAACAAATGGCCTCCTATACAGGCAAATACATGAGAAAATCTCCTGAAATATTCTTTGCTTCCTAAGGTTGGAAAGAGTTTATTCATAGTGGAATTCATCCATCCTTTCCCTCCCTCCTCTGTTCCTTTTGACATACCTCTTCTACCAACTTTCTTATTCATGTTTCAGTTAAGATTGGAAAAAAAATTTCTTGCAAACTATGCAAGTATCACTTGTTGTCCCGTTGTTCATTGGTTTGCTCGAGAGGGCACCAGTAACATCTCCATTCATCCCTGTCACCTTATTCGTCCTTCCCAACTTTGCCATATAGTAAGTAGCTTATATCATTTCAATGATTTTGTTTACATCTAGAGTGGTTATTTATATCACCACAAATCAGCAGTTCCTTGCCTACCAAGTTAAAAAAATTACATCTGTAAAATATACTACAATGTAGTGCATTTATAAGCCTCCAGTGTAAAATGTGATGAACAGGAATTTGCCATATATCAGGCCCAAAACAGAAGACACATACTGAAATTCACTATAAGCTTAACTTGGATGTTTTAAGGTACAATTACTAGAGTAAACTAATATTTAAAAATTTTAATTCTTGCATACCTTAATATGCATGAGGTTAATATTTTTCAGTATTATTTGTGAATTGGAGTCTTTATCAATAATTTCAGCACTTTATGTTAAATGACTTTTTTTTTGTTTTTTGTTTTTGGGGTCATACCCAGCGATGCACAGAGGCTACTCCTGGCTCTGCACTCAGGAATTACTCCTGGTGGTGCTTGGGGGACCATATAGGATGCTGGGAATAGAACTCAGGTTGGCTGCATGCAAGGCAATGGCCCTATCCACTGTGTTATCACTCCAGCCCCCAAGTTAATGTTTTTAATGCAGAATTGCTCTTGCTTAAATAGAAGGATAATGATTCTCACTAGCCTCACTGCACATCTTAACAGCAGATCACTTTTATCGGTATTCTTTTCTCTTATTCCAATTCTTTTTTCCATCATAATCTACCCCGGGCTGGAGCTACAGCACAGTGGTAGGGCGTTTGCCTTGCACACAGCCAACATGGCCGACCCAAGTTCGATTCCTCTGCCCCTCTTGGAGAGCCCGGCAAGTTGCCGAGAGTATCTCGCCCGCACGGCAGAGCCTGGCAGCTCCCCTTGAGGTATTTGATATGCCAAACACAGTAACAACAAAGTCTCCAATGGAGACGTTACTGGGCCCGCTCGAGCAAATCGATGAACAACAGGAGGACCATGACTGTGAATCTACCCCTGAATTGCCATGGGAAATTATAAATGTATTTATCTTCAACTCCTTTTAAAAAGTTTGATTTTGATTTCTCATATATAGAGGTAGAAATGGGCAATGTAAAAATTATTTTAAAAAATCGGAAACACACATAATCTCAGTAAGATAGAAAAATATAGTGAAAAGGTATCTGAGATATTTAGAGTAGTTTGTAAGAATAAATCTCAAAAAAAAAAAAGAAAAGAAAACACCACAGAAACTACTAACATTTGAATATTTAAATACGCACTTCTTTTGGCAATTAACTTCCATCGACAGGTCACAGTATCAATATCAAGGAGAAAGATGGAGCAGAAAGAGAGGAAAGAAAGGAAGGAGAGCTGAGGAGGAGTAAGAAGTAATGATTCTTTTTCATCAGATGGTAAAACTGAATCCAAATAAGGACAAGGAGCAAAAACATGGTAGCTTCCAGTTACTGGCATCAAGCGGCCAGTGATACTTCCCAAAGCCAAGCTTTTACTAAAAAACTTGTTTTTCTACATTCATCAGATATTTGTATCATGCTAATGATGTCCTGTACCTATAAAGTAAAAAAATCAAGTAACTCACTGATGATAAATTATGCTCTGAAAAGATTCTTTTTTTCCTGATTAAAAGCAAACAAAATGTTGTTATCTAGAGGTAGGGAAGTAGTATTACCCTGCGTTGTCTTGGCGAATTCAGTTGTTCGTGGAACCTTAGTTGTGAATCGTTCTTGGACAGATTGGTCTGTTACTTCTGGAGAAAAATATAGTAATATAGTATGCTTTAAATAATTATAATTAGCTACAGGTGCAATGCACTCTTTACTGCCCCCATGCAATGATAGAAAGAGAAACCAGCAATTATAAATATGCCTAAAATTATAATAACTCAGAGTTAATGGCATGTTTTAGTAACTTATTTCTTGTATTTTCTTCCTTTTGACACACTTGTTCTAATGATTATTGGAAGAAGTTCCTAAAGTTTAGCTCCTGATCCTTCTTTCACTACCCTGGGTGTGGCTATGCTTGGAGGTGCCTGTACCCGACCTACCTGCTGTATTTTCACTCCAGCACCCTTCATGCCTCCTTCTCATTTCATACATGCCAGTAGTTATTTAAGTCAGTTGAAAAAGAAACAGATTGTGTAAAAAGGTGTGATTAAAAAAGCCATCCATGTTCTCATGAAAAGCATAAATTTAGTTTTCTATTAATTTAAAAAATAATTGATAGAAAAATAAAGGGGAGAGAGGTAACTAGCATATCCGGAGTGGGTCTTGAACTTTTGACTTTCTCATCATGGTGATATTCACTATATGTGCCCAGGCCTACTAGATGAATATATTGATTATTAGGGCATAGGTGCTCATTTAGTTTAAAAACATCTTACTTCTCAAGGGACTTAATTTTAAAGTATGATTAGTAATTTTTTTTCCAGCAGACATATTCAAAGAATGGATTTTCTTGAAAGGCATGAAGGGAAGAAAATGAGGTCACTGATTTCTATGCATCCTTATGGAGGGCAGTGCACAGTTGAGGAGCCTATCACTATCAGCAGGAACTCTTGCTATATGGCTAGTTTTCAATTAAGAATCAGGCAAATGGGTTCCTCACACATTGAATGTGGTATTGCTGAAATCCTCTGAAGCATGATTAGTTCCTTTCAATTCACCTTCTTGACCCATACACCCCATTTCTCCAGGTAATCACATTCTTGTCATCTTAGTTTGGGTCACCATTTTTTGTCCTGTGCCTCTTTTCAGCAGTCTTTAAGTCAAGAGGACCATTTTTATTAATTTATTGTTTATTAGATCACCATGAGATTCAGTCACAAACTTTCATGATTATGTTTCAGTCATACAATGATCCATCCCTTCACCAGTGCACATTTTCCACCACCATGGTTCCCTGTGTCCCTCCTGCCACCCCTATCCGATCCTTTTCCCTGCCTCTTCTCTTTCTCTAATTTGGGCATTGTGATTTGGAATACAGATACTAAGAGGCCATCATGTTTGGTCCTTAGTATACTTTCAGCACAAATCTCCCATCCCAGGTGATCTCTACAACCATTATTTACTTAGTGGTCCCTTCTCCATCCCAACTGCCTTTTCTCCCAGCTTGTGAGTCAGGCTTCTAAGCTGTGGAGTGATCTTCCTGGCTCTTATCTCTTCTGTCCTTAGGTGTTAGTCTCATAGTGTTCTACTTTATATTCCACAAATGAGTGCAGTCATGCTATGTATATCCCTCTCGTTCTGGCTCATTTCAGTTAGCATGATACTCTCATGTCCATCCACTTATATGCAAATTTCCTGATTTCATCTCTTCCAAGAGCTGTGTAGTATTCCATTGTGTAGATGTATCAAAGTTTCTTTAACCACTCATCTGTTCTCAGGGTTCTCAGGCAACATTTCCCCCCCAGATTCTGGCTATTGTCAACAGTGCTGCAATAAACATGCTAGTGCAGATGTAATTTCTACTGTTTTTTTTTCATCTCTGGGATATATTCCTGGGAGTGGTTCTTCTGGGTCATATAGGAGCTCAATTTTTAGTTTTTGGAGGAATGTCCATATTGTTTTCCAAAAAGGCTGGACCAGTCAGCATTTCCAACAACTATAAATGAGAGTTCCTTTCTCTCCACATCCACACCAGCACTGGTTGTTCTTGTTCTTATTCATGTGTGCCAGTTTCTGTGGTATAAGATGATACCTCATTGTTGTTTTGATTTGCATCTCCCTGATGGTTTGTGATGTAAAGCATTTTTTCATGTGCTTTTTGGCCATTTGAATTTCTTTTTTTGAGGAAGTTTCTGTTCATTTCTTCTTCCCATTTTTTGATGGGCTTGGAGGTTTTTTTCTTGTAAAGTTCTACCAGTGTCTTGTATATCCTGGATGTTAAGCTCCTATCTTATGGGTATTGGGTAAATATTTTTTCCCCATTCCACGGGCTCTTTCTGTATTTTAGTCGCTGTTTCTTTTGAGGTACAGAAGCATCTTGGTTTAATATAGTCCCATTTGTTTATATTTGTTTCCCCTGCTTGGTTAAGTAGTATTCCATCCTTGAAGATGCCTTTAGCTTCATTATCATGGAGGGTTCTGCCTAAATTTTCCTCCATGTATCTAAGGATTCAGGTCTGATATTGAAGTTTTTAATCTATTTTGATCTGACTTCTGTGCTTGGCGTTATACAGAGGTCTGAGTTCATTCTTTTGCATGTAGCTGTCCAGGTTTCCCAGCAGCTCTTGTTGAAGAGGTTTTCCTTGCTCCACTTCACATTTCTTGCTCAACAGGACCATTTGCACCTCTAATTCCAACCCTTGAGGTCGGAGTGATAGTACAGTGGGTAGGGCATTTGACCTGCATGTAGCCGACTTGGGTTCAAACCCCGGCATCTCTTATGGTCCTGGAGTAATTACTGCTAGGAGTAATTCCCAAATGTGGAGCCGAGAGTAACTCCTAAGCATCACTGGGTGTGTCCCCGTCCCATAAAAAATGAAACCAAAATAACTTCAACTCCTACTCCAACTTGAAGATAAAATCATGCCTCCTCTGTGAACTCTTTCCCAATATTCCAAAATCCCATAGCTCACTTCTCTATCACAAAGGTGTCTAACACAGCCTAACCAGTTGTGTGACTATGACTCAAATTTCTTACCTAAAATGGGACAAGTAAGAGAACCTGTCTCACTTGAGTTACTTGACTTACATTTTAAAAAATGTAAGTAGGATACTGACTAATACAGATAATAAGTATATTGCTTTCACAATATCTTGTCTTTTTATTAGGGGATACATTCTTTAGGATAAGGTCTCACCTTTAAAACAGTTTTATTTTAGAACTTCTTCTGCTTAACATTATATCTAGTACCTATAAAAATTCTCAATAAGTCTGGATAAAATGTTTCTTCCCAAGTGCAGTTTTAAAAAATAGAAAATGTGATAGAAAAATAGAGCGTTAATATATTTGGGGATAATTTTATTTTTAGAAAACTTAAGATGTTGTCAAGGTATTGTAAAACACTTTATAATCTTATATTGAAAGTCAGTGTAAAAGCTAGAAAGATAAATATGCAATAAAACTAGAAGTATTAAGTAAAATGGATTTTTAAATAATGGTAAAAACAGATCCTCCAATGTAAAAATCACCTGTAAAGACATATACATTTAGTTTTTTTAAGGGAAATTCAAAAAGATAGTTCTCATCGGACTTGAAATATCAAGAAAAATTTTACCCAGGAAAGTTTGCAGTTCCTCTTGACTAGGGCTTGGTGAAATTATAGGCATGAAATGGCTGCCTCGTGTTTCTAGAGGAGCTACAAAAGACAAGTTACCATGGTTATTAACCCTTAGATTCAAAAGCTAGCATCATGCCTTAATGCTATTACATGAAGAGTTCTTCATTCAAAATAGAAAAAGGAAAACATGAAATGGGTCATGGAGAAAAAGTTAAATGTGCATAGCAATTCAGAAAATTACTATGAGGCATTGGAATAATAATTCTCAACTGTTTTTCTCTCTTTCCCCAGGAGAGATAATAAATTACATTTAATGCTGAATACATTCTATGCTTATTTCTAGTTATGGTAGGATATGAGTTATACATAGTCATGATTTTTTGGCTGTAGCTCTATCCCACTCAATTGAGCACATGGAGATTCAAATGCGTGAGAATAAAATAATTGCATAGATCACCTTGAGTCTATTCAAGTTTATCTTAATAGACTTTTGGCAAATTTTAATATTTTAATTAATATAGATTAATAATTACTTTCTAGTTTCTATCACAACTTGTTTCCTGGTAGGGTGTTATAACAGTACAGTTGAAAATCACTAAGCCAGAGGAAAATATAGACTAGATAAGCCTGAGTGATATGGAATCATTTTGAACATGAAAACTAATGAGGTAGGTGAAGATGGGCTTAGAAATGAGTTTCTGAAGTCAGTCTTCAGATGAAAGCCTTGTAACAGTGAATCCAGTGCTTTTCTATTTGGAAAGAGTAATAATAGTACAAAGAATAAAATGATGAGATATGTATAGAAGAGATGATGTTCAATATGATCATTTGACAAAGACCTGCAATCTTGATGGTAGCAAAAAAGAAAAATTAGAATTGGTCAATATAAGAAAACCATTACCTATTGTTGTCTCTGGTGGTTCAATTGTAAAGGTAACAGGTTGCAGAACTATGCCAAAAACAAGCCCAAAAGAATTTATGAGAATTACTATCTGTGAAGTAAAAAGGATTTCTGTATTTCTATATGCATCCACTTGAACTCCAAAGCATGCATCTACTTTCAATATTACTTGCTAATATGAAAAATATGAAAATCAGAATATGAAAAATTATTTATGTACTAATAAATAATTATATACTAATTATTTATATACTAATGCTGCTCAGGAAGCTTAGTTTAGGTAATAATTTTAGGTTCTCATTTGCTGTCACTTCAGGAAAAATGTTGAATAGTTACCCATTTTTTTACTTAAAATATGGGTGTAGTTGTCATATACTTATATTTTGAAAGAAGAGAAAATGAAATCAATTATTTTTTATAATTTTAACATATCATATTTAGTAAAAAATGAGCTAACCATATACTAACTAGGAGAAAATTTTCAGTTTTCATGATTTGTATGAGTAAATTTAAATATGCATTTTATACCTTTAATTTTTCTCTTAAACTCCTCTGCATCAAAAACATTAAAACTATATATTTTTTGCCTTCAAGAACATGGTTTTGAAAAATACACTTTCTACTGGAAAAAGAAAACATTGATTTACCAGGAATACTCTGAGAGACATCAGGGTCTGGCTGATAGGGATGGAGCACATCGCTTGGAGCTGAAAGAAGATTGTTATACTGAGTACAACTCAATCACAGATAAAATATCCTGGAAAGCATGACTGAAAAATGGTATTTTTACACTGGCTGGAGAGAAAAACGAATAGATGACCTTCCTATTTTCCTAAATAGAAATACATAAATGTTTAGGAAGGTTCCCATGGTAATGTTGGTTACAGTTCACACTGAAGCCTCCCTTTAGGGAAAAGAGAGAAAACAGCTCAGTAACTTAACATGAAAAGGTTGTCTTTACATTAGAAAGTCTGGGCCTGGAGATGCCATTTGATATTCAAGCTAAAATTGCTGTCAGCAGTAGAAAATATGCCTTTTTTTAGAATATATTATTTTAAAGTGCATAAATTATCTATAAACGAAGGGAAATAATAGGACGAGTAAAATTCTTCATCATTTAAGACATGAACAAGGTTTGATTCTAAAGAGCGCTGACTTTGGAAAAACAGATCAACCACTCATGAGAAGACACCATCTGGAAAGTTTATGTGATTGATCGTTACAGAGTAGAAGTTAGATAAATGTATTGCCCTTCTTCGAGATGTGGTTTCAAGTAGATTAGTACTATGGGCTCCTGATCAGAGAATATGAAAACTTTCAAAGGACAGAACGTTAGCTAACCAATAGTCTAATTCATATTTGGTGCGCACTACTTGGCATACCTTTTATGCCCTTGTTTACTACTGTAATAGCAATAGAATCACAACAGGTTGGTAATCTAACAGTAAATTGGAAATCTGATAGAGTTCCCCAACATCCTTGGGGAAAACAGCGGGGTGACTTACCAACTGATAACATCAAATTACTACAGCAAGTCTTTTTCTTTGCTTTGCTTTTACCCCCTCACGCTCCCCCCACCCCCCCCCCCCCGCCCCGCCCTGGTGGTCTCAGGCCTTACTTCTGTCTCTGCACTCAGAGATCACTTTTGGCCCTGCTTGGGGTACTACACAGGGTGCTGGGGATAAAACTTGGTTGGCATGTGCAAGGCAAGCACCATACACACTGTACTATATATATCTTTTCAGTCCCTGTAAAGTCTTTTTCCTAAAAGCAAGATAATGTACTTCTTTGACTCAGCTTCCTTAGACAGATAATCTTCTCAGCCCTACTCTCTCACTGAGAAGTTTTCATGCCACACTGATGATTCTATAAATATCAAATTTCATTTCATAGGCAGTGTCATTTTCTTGTAGTTTATGTGACTCAGGGGAAAAATATGATTCAGGCTGTAACTCTGTTTCAGAGAAGGATAAAAAAATGTCCTTGCACTGTCAGTTAGCCAACAACCCCTTACCATAAGTATAGAGTAAATTTTGTGAAATGAATGTTCTTATGCATTGTCTTTTGGGGATTATATTTGACGTGGACCACATTTGTTCTTAGCTTAGGTCACTAAGTACTAGTGGAATTACAGTTGTGGAATTAGATACACTGAGCAGAAACTACTTAATCCATGCAGTTATGAGCTAAATGGCAGCATTCTGGTGAATTTGAAAATCTGGACTTTTTTTTCTAAAAAAAAGAAAAAAGATAACTTTTTTCAAGATCAGTGGTTCACAAAGGCAGAAAAACCTCTTCACAATAATAAACATTTCACCTTAGCTATGATGTTCTTTGGGGAATTCAAATAAGGAATTTTTAGTTGTAAATCAAACTAAATGTTTATTGGGAGAGTGAAGGTGAAACACTGCGAAATTATGGCTAGACAAAGCAGCCTGCAGTCTCTAAATACCCTAATTGGTTAAAGTGCTAGTCTGCAAAAGAAGGAACTGGAATTAAGATTAAGGAGCTTAGAGAAAATGTGCTACTAATAGATTCACCACACTGTAAGTATATTATTTGCTCTTTTTTTTCCAGTTTACTGAGGAATGTAGGCTATGGTAATGTGGAGTCCTGCTTTGCATCTGGCATATTTTTAACTATGGAGTGGTGATTTAATTAGCTGACAAAACAGACTTTCTAAAGCAGGTGAAATCAGTGGAAAGAAATAGAAATATTCACAGGAAAGGGATATTAATCATTTGTCTATTTGGTCAACTGTAGCGCCAATAAATGCAAGATTTTCCTCCGCATAGGTGGCATTTCTCTGTACACTAAGATAAACAAGAGCATGATTCCTAAAACCTAAATCTGTCCATGCTATGAAAATTTAATGAAAATAAGGACAATTTATTTGAGAAAGTAGTTTAGGTATGTTTATAGAAATATTTGCTATTGTTATAATTTAGACTGATTTAGATTAAACAAGTTGTCGCTTATATCAACAAACCAATTACATTAGCTACCTTTGGATAAAGAGCACATTTCCTAAGGGAGAAAAATTAATGAACACACACCATATTAATAGACAATGTTGAATGTGGGTGAATATAAATAAAAATTCACAAATGTTTGCCAGAGCAGTTTAGAGAAGATTATATGTGCAGAGAAGTGATTCCCAAATATATGTCCTGATTTCTGTTTAGAATCCAAAAATATATTTCAACCACAAGTTAGACATTTCTACTTCAATAAAAAGTAGTAGAAGTTGAGGGAGACAAGGTATTTGTGTTACATGCAACTAACTCTTATTTGATCCCCTGAACCTTGATGTCCATCAGGGTGTCTCTCCTGCGCACAGATCTAGGAACAGTTTCTGAAAAACATTCAGTGTAGCCCGCCCACACCAACCCCAAATTTATCCTACTGACTGTAAATCTAATGAATCCTCTTGATTTACCCTACTAACTGTAAGTCTAGTGAATCTTATTGACTTACCCTACTGACTCTGTAAATCTAGTGATTTCTATTGACTTTTTGAGTATTTATCTTCCAGTAATAAACCCGTGGCATCAGCAGTTAAATCATTTAGAATTATTCTGTTTCTCAGCCATACTGATCTGTTTAATACATATGTTGTAATATACTCTGTGCATTTATTTCCTCGTCAATCAATAGCTAGACAATGGACTACAACTTAACTCAAAGAAAAGATGAAATCATGCAATTAGCTTAGTTTGCTTTATTAGCAAATTATTAGTAAACATTGCTTCCCAAGGCCATTCATGAACGTTGACTGTTTTAAAGACTCAGGAATGTGTGGGTTTGTACAGCCCCTGTCTGTATGAGATTATTCCCTCAAATATGAGATTATTCTTTCCCATAAAAGGACAAAAATTAAACAAATTTGAAACACAGACTACAATAATGGGAAATAAGAGCAAACTCCAATTAACTTTTTTTGGTGAAAGCGGGAGGCATACCAGCAATTCTCAGGGGTTACTCCTGACTCTGCATCTAGGGATCATTCCTGGTGTTGCTCAGGGGACCAAATGGGATGCCAGGATTGAACTCTGGTTGGTCGCATGCAAGGCATGTGCCCTACCTGCTGTATTGTCTCTCAGGGCCATAACTATTTTTTTAAAATAAGTATAGTTTAGAAGAAAAATTAAAATTTTCTTTGCTACTTAACTCCTTTAATTTTTTTTTTACTAACCAAGAGTTTATCATCCTAATATCTTGGAAGGTAGGCAAATCAGGAACTATGAAAGGGACATGAGAATATTCTCAAATTGGGAGAGGCGAAGGGAATAGACAAGAATTTATTTTAAAGAAGTTTCACTCTTCTTCATTCCTCAAAGAACATAAAAAACAAGGAAGTTTTTTTGGAATAAGCTATCCCAATAGTATACCTTTTGATAAAATCTAAAAAATCAATGTAAATGTTTCTAGGGGGTAGAAGAAGACTAATCTTACAGGGACTATAAATTCACCCCACTAGACCAAAATGACAAACTGTTTAGATTAACATATAAAATATGCATTTACCTGTCTGTGTTTGTGGGATTCTTGGCCGAGGAGATGGTTTTTGTTTGGAAGGAGTACGTGGTGTCTGCTTAGGAACTGAAAGAAAGAAGATAGGTTTGAAGCTCAAGGTTCACAGTGTGCAAGCCTCCAGGATCTCAAAGATAGTTGCAGAATGACTGACACAGCACTTACTGTGATTAAAACTCCTAAAAGAGCCACAAGATAAAGGAAGATTATCTTAGTATAATGGTAAATGAAATAAGACAAATGAAGTAAGACATAATGAATGGTGTACCAGATGTTCAACTGTTGGGAATTCAGAGATATTTGCTTAAAAATACTTTTTAAATAGGTTAAAGTCAATATGATAATTTTAAGAATTCTCATTTTAATTTTATACCATTTTAACAGACTATCCTGGTAAACATTTAAGTACAATTAGATACAATTTATTCTAAATAAAAATCCAACATTTATATTCCAAAATACCTAGATGAAAGCATTGCAATAGCAAGTGCTACTAAAAAACAACTCATTAGACAACTTTCACTGGAAGAGATGCTAAACAGAAATCAAAAGGGATAGGTTATTGAAGCAAGTGATTCCTTTCCTGAGACATTTTGTGTGAAAACCTGTAGCTTCTTCACCAAGGTAATAAATGTCCTGCTGGAGGAAATGAATTTTAAAATACAAGGTTAAGACTTGTAGAAACAACTCATTTGGTTGGACTATAGCTTTAAAGTTATGGAGTCTCAGGAACCTTAAAAAAGCCTGCTGGAAAGGAACAGTTATTATATACCAGAATAAATTCCTAGTCTGAAAAGACTTTTTTCCTTCTACTAAGTAAAAATGCACAAGGCAATCATTTCAGTGGAATCATCTTACCTGTAGAGAGATAAACAAGGATAGTCTGGGGATTTCAGTGTTTTAGAGCCTGAAACCTAGAAGTTTAAGGATTACCTCTGCTAATACTAAGTCCATAGACTCAATTTCTCCATTGAATGTTACAGCATTCTCAGAGCACTTTCAATTCTAAAATTTTATGACTACAGTTTTTGTCAGTCTTGTTATTTTATCTTTCCTTGTTTGTCAGGATTCATACTTCTAAGCTATTTCCTAACTCCCAACCACAGGACATAAGAAAGATTGGCATGCCATGAGGCGCTTAAATGAAAAATAGAACCATAAAGAAATAGGAATCATTAATAAAATTCACAGTTAAGCATTTAAGTGTTTTAGCTATTTAGCAATTTTGGATAAATTGTATACAACTGATGCAGATTTGACTAATGTGGATGGTAAATGTGGAATTCTGGTGAAAATTAAACATGAATTTTAGTAAGCCATGTTTAATAGTCTATTTCAGGGGACAATGAACAGAATTGATACTCATATCTCCTTGAAAATACAATCAAACAAAACAGTTAAATCAGACCAGAAGTCTGGTCATATTTGTAGTAGTGCTATTCCAAGGAAGAATGTAGGTTTTCATATAATGTTTCCTTAAAGAAGAGGCATATTTGATTATACATACTGATGTTTTATTTTCATTCATCTCAAACTCCCTCATCAAGTAAATCTTTAGACTCATCAGCTAACTGATTTGCTTTAGTTTCTCTTATTTGTACACAGGGAAGTGGCCAAAATATTGCAGAAAGAATTAAGTGAAAGAAGAAAAATCCCAGAATAAATGACAAGGTGATTGGCCAGATATAATCTTTTTTGTGTGTATTGTACAATTAAATCTATTTCTGGAATTCCTATTCATCTCAAATACAATTATGTATCTCAAAATATGTGACAAAAGAGAGGTAAGATAACACTAGTCAAGAAGATAATGCACTTAAAATTAGTATATGTGTCTAAAAATAATTTCCTCCCTGAAACATAATTTCTTATATGAAACACTCGTAAACTCACTGAGACACTTTTTAGCTATATACTAGAGATTAGTCACTATACAGTCATTGGCTATAGATTATGAATATAAGGAGAAAATGGCATGGGAAAGGGAGGGTTGCTCACCAAAGACCCGGAGAAGAGATATTTGAGGTGCCTGATGTTTTGTGGTGCCCTCATGGTCTTTCTTTCTTACCCTTTTACAAAAACACCCCTCAATTTCTACATGGAAAACAAAGGTATAAATTCACCCAATCTGAATTGGGTAGGATTATGTTTGGGAGGACAGAGAGACAAGGTTTTATGTCAACTGGACAAAAAACTGCATTACTCTAGTTGCTCCTTTAAATAAATTAAATGGCAAATCACTTGCTAGTTCTGCACAATGCATTTAAGTAAAAATAATTCTTAGAGATAGCAGGTTATGAAATACTTTAAAAGCATGCCTTTATCTTTACTTTTAAAATTCCTACTTTACATTAGTGTAGCAACAGTGCTAGAAGGATACCTAATGGCAACCATGAAGCAATAAAAACATGCAAAACAATGAACTGATGGAATTTAATTAAAATAATGGAGAAACATGAAAATGAATGCAATGAAACAAGCTTTAGTAAAATGATGGTCTTTAGGCCAGAAATGTACCCCCAGAAACATTTCTGAAATATCCAACACAGTATCAAGCCAGCAGAATGTTCAGTAATAGAAGAGGGATGCCTTATGACTGACAGTCTAACTCACAAGTAGACAAAGAGAATAAGGTCTGGATGCAAAATTTCACAGGACAAGAGACTTTCTTGGATATTAATAATGAATAGAAGCATGGAGCCAGAAAATTTTCTGTGTTAAAAAGAATGATGGTGCCACATGATTTCCAGTGAGAGAGAACATGAGATTCTCAGGTGGTTGCAATCAAGACAAAGGTACTGAAGTGTAAAATGATCTGGCATAGTCAAGGTAAAAATTCTAGTGTGAAGAAGTGACACAACATTTGCAATAAATTCCACAAGTGCATCCAAAATAATACAAGAAATATTTAAGATGTTAGACTTTAAATATTTCCTTTTGAACAACAAAATACTTCATTCTCTTAGGAATTGACTTTTTTAAACAGATAAGACAACAAATTTAGACAAGAAAAAAGAGAATAAGAAAATCCTATTATATATCATTAATCTTCCAACTTATACCTATGCTTTAAACTTCATTAACTGATCATAAAATATTATTGTTTAGATACCACAGAGAAATAGAAATATAGAAATTCCTATATTCAGAGAATCCACCATCATTTAAAGAATCCAAGAATTTTGGAAACTCTAGCTCTTCAAATTGATTCAGTTGTAGAACAAACTTGAGCTTTCATGTTCCATAACAAGTAAAAAATTATCAAAGGAATAAGGCAAAGTATGAAAACCTTTACCACCTTCAGGCTCTGGCTTCTCTGGTCTGAATGGTTCTTTGGCAGTGGGGTATACATAATCTGTCTCGGCTGTTGCTAGGGAGGAATAGGGAATGGATGGTTAATGGTGGGTGGGGAGGGGAGGGGCAGCCCATAGCATACTGCAATGGAACACTATGAAAACAGAGACGAGCCATATGATGCAGATGCATTCAAAAGTAAACAACATCCATACAGATAATGAAGACGACCACAATTTACGAGACAAAAATGAAGGCAATGTACTACATGAGAAAAGACAAATGAGTGATGGGTCTATAGCAATATCTAGCTAGAACCAAAGCAGATTATTTCATCTTCTCACATATTTCAAAGGATTCTAGTGAGAAAAGGACAGACACCAATTACTGAGATATCATGGGATGAATTTTTTAAGTGATAAGAAAATTAAAGGTAGGATGTGTATATTCATTTTGAGTGATTATAATAGTACAATTAATTGTTTTAATTTCGAGTGGGAATAAACTTAATAAGGAACTTGCAAAGCCATAGAGCAGACACCAGTACAATGTGTACATATTGTACACAGTACATATTGTACACAGTACAACAACCAGTACATATAATATTTGACTTCCAAGATTCACAGGATGAGCACAGGCAAGATATGAAAGAAATATGAACTGTCACAAAGCATGAGGACATCCAAAGGTGATTTCTGCAATGGAATGAAAAAGCACATATATCTAGCTTCTCACTGGGAAACATTTTACCTATAACTTCTTTTGATGACTCAGTGCTAAGTGTAATCGACTCCAGGACTTCCGAAGCTACCAAGAAACACAAAACAGCACAAAATAATTGAGGAAGGATGGATTGCCATCAGCACTGAATACAAACAGTCTGGAAAACTATCTTGAACTTATGAATGCTTGATGTCATAATAACAACATTATACTAGCAGTGAGAGAAGTTCTAAAAACGGAATTAAATGTATACTTTTACTAGTTAACTAACATCCATGCCTTATGCTTCCATATGAACAACAAAATTCTATTTTACTTGTTAAAAGATTCATAAAAGAGATGATGGAAAATTGCAATCCTATGGTGGAAAAAATCAAAAGAAATGCCAAGGAGTACTAACTGCACTATAAAATAATTTAAGTATTTTTTTAAATCGTGAAGTAAACTTTGCTATCTTTATGAGATGAACATTTTCCTTTCTTGTTTATCATAGTTGAGCTGGCATTCTTTTCATGAGTCACAGAAAAAATATTAGTTTATATATTAGCTATTATTTTATAATAGTCTCACAAGTTAGGAAGCAATAGTGAAAAATGATAATGATTAACATTATATTTAACTGTTTTTTATAAATACTAAATCATGCATGTGATTCTTATATAATATAAAACAAATTCAATTAAGTACTTCTTTCTTTTGTTTATTTTTTAGGCCACAAACAGTGATGCTCAGGGTACTAACTCTCAGGCCTCAATAATTCTATATAGATAAATAATGTGATTGATATGAAATAATAATTGAATCCTAATATGCAACAATGGAAAGAACATTGCACAATATTTAGAGGGAGTTAGTAAATAAATTTTATTTTTTGCCGTTACATTTGGAAATATATAGCCTTTGAAATGTGCCACTGAAGCTCAATATACATAGATAAAACAATCTCTTTCAGGAGATGTTTGAGCGTCTAGCAGAAGTCAGTGTTTACTCCTGGCTCTGTGCTCAGAGATCACTCCTAGTGGTGCTCTTGGGGTACTGAGGATTCAGCCTGGATTGGCCACATGCAACGTTAACTCCCCACCCCCTGTCCCATAGCTTTGTACCTGATAAAACAATCTTTTTTTTACCTGGTTGACTTTTTGGTGACATTTCTAGGCTTGGTGATGTCACTGCTTTAAAAAATAAGAGTTTGCAGTTCAGTGGGAGCTGGAAGAAGAGGATCTAAATGTTCAAAGTAACTAGGCAGTTTACATCACAGATTTTAGAAATAGATAGCAATGGATTGAAATTCATAGGCCCTAAGAATTATGAGGTTATGGAAAGCCATATACAGTATGTACTGTTTAAAGCAGAAACATGCAATATATGGCCCTCCCCAAGATAGTCTTATGCCTAGCTTATGAGCCCAGAATGCTTCATATATTCAAAAGATGAGAAAACATTAAAAGTAGAAAATGCTAAAAAAAATCACATAAATTTCTATTATTGCAATTACACTTACAAACTGAAATGATTGGAGAAACTATTTACACATCACTGGCATATTGGTTTTGGCTGCCTTCAAACTACAATAACGGAATTAAATAGTTGTAAGACTGAATGACCTGAAAAGTCTAAATGTTTACAATCCCCCTTTTCATGTAAAAAAACTGATGACCCTGGATCTCAAGATTCCTTCTGGGAAAAGAGCCTATTTTAAAAAATTAGGCTTTTAGTAACTACTGTATCTAAATATTAGCTTCCACTAGGACTTTTTGAAGAACTTTTTGAAAAATTTCCTATAGCTGGCTTCACAGAGTATAATTAACAAAAATGTTCAATATTATCTAGGAATATTTTGTTCTATGTTTTAGTTTGATTAACCCTCTTGGGTACTTTCAATAGGTGCTAAGAATTTTTGTTTAACCTTGCTGTTCCCATTCTTTAATTCATTAATTTAAATCTTAAAGTTATTTAATCATTTTCTATCAGTCCACATAGATCCTTGATTTCTTTAAATGTTTTCTCTATGTGATTTTCTTTTTGCATTCAACTAAACAAATTGCTTCCGTATATATAAATAGTTTTTTTATCAAAGAAAAACCTGACATGCTTTCTTCATGGTTATAGCATACTCTTTAAAAAGGTAAAGCACACCCTTACTTTTTTCCTCTATTTCTTCCTTACCCTACCCTATACCACAGCTAACGAGGGGCTGGGATTACCAGTCCAAGAAAATGTTTATTTAATCCAATCTTGTAAAAACCTCTTTAAGGAGAGGCCGAGAAACCTCAGAAGCAGCTGATAGTTCTACCTCTCAGGCCTTGATTCTTAGGGCACATGCTACTTCCCGTCAAAACAATTGCTTTTTCATCCCGCGAGAACAGGCTACCAGAACTCACTTCTCCAGTCACAGAATAATACATTTACCCTGTTTGATCTGAGATGCATCAGGGCTTGCTGTGGTTTTAGGCCTAGGACGTGGACGGGGCCGGGGACGTGGACGGCGTGTTGGTTTTGGTGTTTTAGGAGCTAAAGGAAGAAATTTCAGATTACTCTATGTGGTTTTTGAAACAACTTTTTAGGTCTTCAAAAATATGTTAGAAATTTCCCTGAGATTTAAGGTCTAGGTAAATATTCTTGAGATATGAAATATTATTAAAATTATGTCAGTAAATGAAGAATTTTATAAACAACTTCAAAGCAGGTAAAGACCATGCCAAAGTTCAGAAATAAGATCTTAGGTTTATAATAAGAAATTTGTACATGCCCCAAACCACCGTGCATTGTTTGAATTGTCTTGGTTTATTTGGTTTAGAAAATACATGTACAATACCAACATATTTTTTTGTTTTGGAGCTACACCCAGCAGTGCTCAACACTTACTCCTGGCCTTATGCTCAAAGATAACTCCTGAGGAAGTAGGGAACCCACTAGGGTCGCAGAATTCAAACCTGTTGACCTCATGAATGACAAATGCCTTACCTGCTATATGACTTCTCTGGCCCAAATATCAATTGTTTTTGAACTCAGTTTTCTATATATGCCTTTTTTAGATATATGTACAGGACACAAATTCAAATAATACTATATGATAGACAAATATTTTGACCTAGGTCCATGCATGACTTAACAACAGGTAATTCTATAGGAGTCCTCAATATGCTTAAGAAAAATAAGAAAATAAAGTTTAAAGAAAGCAGAAGATGACAAGGCGATATTATAAAGCTGATGATAATGTGATTATGATGAGATTATGATGATGCTAGGATGACTTGACAAATAACTGGACAAATGTGATTATGATGAGATTATGATAATGCTAGGATGATTTGATAAATAACTGGACAAAGCTTTTGGGGAACACAAAGAAGCATTACATAATGTTGCTTCTAGAGACTTGGTTATAAGAATAACAATTTCAAGAACAATAGAAAGAACTGGTCAAAAATTCGTCCTCCCACAAAAAGCCCCACGCAAAAAAGATTTAAAACTTTCTCTTAAAGACTAATTTCATAAATCAAGTTTCAATTATGAGAGAGAAGATATTTGTAGTTTGTAGTTTTGGTCAAACCATCATCAGTTACTCATTAATGTCATGAGATAGAGTGGGCAGGTTTTGAGCACATTTATATTTTATTTTCTAGATATTCTAGAGAGTCCAGTCTAGTTGAATTTACATGCAAATTTAAATAAATGACTACTATAAAATAATTGTTGGTATAATAAACAGAATGCTATTTGAAAGCATAAGGATTGGTGCACAACTAATAGTTTGTTCTCATCAAATTTGCAACATGAAACTGTATATAATAAAAGTTTGGAAATGTTCTTAAACTATAATGAAGGAGAAAGAGATTGCCTATCCTATAATAGAAGTCTATTGTTTAAACTCAAGACTTAGGAACAATTTAAAATATGAAAGTTTTACAAAGATACTATTTGAAACAATATGTTGGTCCACCAATACAGATACTGATCCAATAACAACTAATATGAGAAAAGAAACAAGGTATTATTTCCATAATTGATAATGGATAACTAAATAAGAAATAGATATTCATGTTGAAATTAAACCTAAAATGTTAATACTCTTGCAAATCCACGTGATCATATAACAGAATACTGAGAATTAAAGTCACACTTTGATGGTCCTGAAATTTAAGAAATTCAGCAGAAACTTGACAGAGAATTTAGACAAAGCTATAATGGAATGACAACAGAAAATGATGAAATAGCTTTATGATATGAACCTGTGCTACAAAGACATGACATTGAGCAGAAAAAGCAAAATTTGAAGGACACATATTCTCATTACCCATAGTTTCTGGAGCTTCAGTTCTAAAAGTATCAGCTTCAAAATCTGTAATAAGAACTAATAAAAAGCAATGAAATAAACACTAATGAAATGTTAGCAAATGAACTCTTCTAGTATAATAATAGTGTTTTGACAAGTATACAGCAGAGCAATTTAAACGTTTTTTTCTTTAAAATTAAATACTTTATTTTTAAAACCCTGGTCGCTATATAGTCAAGAAAAATTCATTCTTTTGTTTTTATATGAAATTATTTGGTTATTTTATTTTATAACCCCTTCACCCCCTAAATATTTAGCGTGCACAATCTGGTAAACCACTCAAAGTAAACCCAATCCTCCTAAGTGTGTATGCAATGCCTCCTGAAAGTTTATTTAAACATCCCACCAAAATATATGTTGGCTGCGTGCAAGGCAGATGCCCTACCCGTTGTGCTATCGCTCCAGACCAAAATATATATTTATGGAAGTACTAGCCAACTGTCAAATTTTTAATAAAAGCTTTAAGAATGTACAAATAGCTTGAATACAATGACTAGCCTTCATGTTTGAAGGGACACACAACAACAAATAAAGCAATGTGAATCATGGTTAACTCTTTGACAATTCATATTGGAAATAAACTGAAACCTCCTTTGAGGTAGTATATTAGGGCAAGAAACATCCACTTAGTGTATAATGCCCAGTAGAGGAATCTGCTGTAATTATACCTATATAAGATTCAATATTTTTTGTGGGGAAAGTACTGATATTTTCTAGGGTCACATTTAAACTTTGTTATACTTCAAGAACTTTCTTCAACTGCTCTTCTGGACTTAGGAAACAGAGCTGTTATCACTGCTTAGAAGCAGGATCTTTCTTGTTCCAGGAAGACTGTATAGTCTCATTGGTATCTGTGTAATCTTTCTTATTTTCCTCTATTCATCAACAATCATTTTATTTATTTTTTATTTTATTTATTTATTTTGCTTTTTGGGTCACACCTGGCGATGCTCAGGTGTTCCTCCTGACTCTACACTCAGGACTTACTCCTGGCAGTGCTCAGGGGACCATATGGGATGCTGGGAATCGAACCTGGGTTGGCCAAGTGCAAGGCAAATACCTTACCTGCTGTGCTATCACTTTGCCCCTCAACCATTATTTTAAAACCTAATTTCTCTCCACTTTTACTTTCACAAACTTCTCCCTAAATTTATAGGTATTTATAGTCCTTGGAAAAACAACCTTGATTTGCTCAAATACACTTCATTAACTCAATCTGTGAATGTTTCATACTGGGCAGGTTTTGACTTTTACTGTGCTATAGATTAATAGCACTATCCTCCTGTTTTTCATCGTTTGCTCGAGCGGGCCCAGTAAGATCTCCGTTGTGAGACTTGTTACTGTGTTTGGTATATTGAATACGTCACAGGTAGCTTGCCAGACTTTCCTGTGTGGGTGAGATACTCTCGGTAGTTTGTCAGGCTCTACGAGAGGGGTGGAGGAATTGAACCCGGGTTGGCTGCATGCAAAGAAAATGCCCTACCCATTGTGCTATTGCTCCAGCATTGGTGGTATAGTGGTGAGCTATATTTTTTTAATAGCATAAACATATTGCCTACTTCTGCAACATCCTCAACAATTCGAGTGTAGCTGTGGGAAAAGAGAAACCATTTGATATTTGCTTGGTTCTACCTAAAACATTTTGCATTTTTAAAAAATTTATTTATTTCTGGGATTTTTCAGGGGTTACTCCTGTCTCTGCACTCAGAAATTTCTCATGGTGGTGCTCTGGGGGACCATATGGCATGCTGGGAATCGACCCCAGGTGGGCTGCTGGCAAGGCAAACACCTTACCCACTGTGCTATCACTCGGGCCCCTTTCTCTTAAAAGAATGGAAAAAATAAGAAAAAGTAAAATACATATTAAGAGAAATTATCAGAACACCTCAATTTTTAATGAAAGAGAGAAAAAGAATATAATTAAACGGAAAACTCAGTTTTGATACTTATCTCCAATCTTTGCAGACTCAACACTCAGAGCAGTGAACCATTTTGTGCTTTTACCCATATTGGCTCACATAGTTTATCACTCCTAGCATCAGTTTCAATCTCTGATTCCCAGGAATTACCAGGACCTCCCAGGTTTGATTTCTCCATCCCTCTTGGAAAGCCTGGCACACTACCGAGAGTATTCACCCACACGGCAGAGCTTGGCAAGCTCCCCGTGGCATATTCGATATGCCAAAAACAGTAACATGTCTCACAATGGAGATATTACTGGTGCCCACTCAAGCAAATCAATGAACAATGGGAGGGCAGTGCTACAGTGCTACTCCTTTAACCAGAAGACCACATTTACCCGGTTTTGTTTGCAGTGTATCAATAGTTGTTGTGGTTTTAGGTTTGGGACGTGGACGACGGGTCCGCTGTGATATTATAGGAGCTGAAGAAAGAGAACCTTCAGTTACTAGAGAATCCACAGATGAGTTGCATGACACACTTTCAGATATCCTAAAACATCTTAGACTTCCTCTTATTTTAGGAAATGTATCTTCTGAATTTTTAAATTTGACACTTTTACTCGTATTAAAAGCATCTCATAATTAAAAGGTCCTTAAGAATGAATTGTTCAAAACTAAATTAATCAAGAGTCATGACTGGTCCATGTTGGGAAGATTGTCACAAGTGTGTGTACACCCATGTGTGCACGTGGGGAGGGGGGAAGTTAGGATACAGAAGGGACCACTATGACAATGATCGTTGGAAATGATCACTCTGGACAAGAACTGTGTCACTTTTCTTTTTGGGGTGTCCAGGGGACCCTGGCTGATGCTACTTGGGCCATGTAGTGCCGTGAATTATCTGGGCCACCCAACAGAATTTAAGGAGCTTCAGGGTGACACTAGGCAGTGCTCAGGAGCCTCCATGGCTGTACTAGCAGTGTTCAGAGGACCACGGTTCTGGAGATCTATCTGGATCATTTGAATGCAAGGCATTTAACCTTAATCCATGTACTATCTCTCAATCCTCTTAATTTTTTTCTGCAGAATAAAGAGTGAACATCACTGTGAAAATATGGTAGTTGTGATAGCCAGATACAAACACTGCCAGTTCAATAAGAGAAGACCCCTGTAATAAAATGTCAAGCAAATGAAAATATCAGTTTAATTTTTCACTTGATAGAATTTTAGACTCATGAATTCCTTGACACCATACTAGTCATCAGTCGAGAATTACTTCTAAATTAAACTCAGTTTTAACAACTTGGGGGAAAAGAAAACATAGATGACAAAACAATTTCAGTTGGTTACATGCATAATAGAGGACCTTGTTGAATTCATGCACAGTGCTCTTAAAAACAAGGGATAACTTGAATAATAAGAATCTTCAATACTTTTAGGGTGATCAGCATCATGGAGACAATAAAGGACAATGCATAGGTTTATGAAACAAAAGCTTTGGTCAAAAGGTTGATGGAATGGGTTTGATGATGAGAATGAAAAATACTTAGGAAGATGACAAAAGATATTACCTTGTGTTGTCACCCATGTCTCAGTTCTGACCATAACTGGTTCAAGATCTCTAGTAGAAACTAATCAAAGTATTAAAGTATTAAAAATAAACCAAAGATTGTTTTTTAAAAAAGAGAAAACTTAAATATTAATTTCAAAACAAATATAACTAATATACATGTAGAAATATTTAGTAACTTTAAGAATTTTTAAGCTAAAAGAAGTAGACCGCTGATTTCCCTAAGTTTGACTATATTGAAGTCAGGTAATAATTTCCTTATTTTTCCTCCTTTGATTGCCCGATTGGACTTAAAAAGCAAAAGTGGGATATGTGAGCATTGCTAAGAACTTATCTATGGAGAAAGACTGAAATCTCAGCACGGTGGATAAGAAATCCCTCCATTCTAAAAACAAGAATGCCTTAATATGCAAATGAGAGCTTGCTGATGTCTACTAGTTTAAATCTGCGTTTCTTGACATGGTAAGGAAATGACAACCATAACTACCCTAGAAGTTGACAGAGCAATCAAGATCCAAATGAACTTGAAGACCAGCTTATTAGATAAGATACCCTCTATACTGTTATTATAGCTAGACTCTTTTCTAGCTGTTTTCTGCTTACATACCCTCTTTCTGATTTTATTTCTATTTGAATGAGTTTAATGTCCTGCTCTTTCTAAATCTTTGCCTTTTTCAGATATTAATGTACCTAGCAAATCTTTTTTTTTTGCTAGCACCAAAAATTCATAGATGCTATCTAATGCCATCTTCTACTTTATTTAAAAAGGAAAGATATTTGTTCTCAACTGTCTTTCAGGTCTGAGAACTAAAACATGTCACCTACATCTGATGTATGCCCCAAGATATACTAATATGATTTAGGGTTTACGGAAGATACTAATATTTGCTAATTTGAACTAAATATGTGTAATTTCCTTAAAAAGCTATATTTGTAGGATTTAAATGGAAGGTGATAAAGTGTAGTGACAGAATAATTGAATACCTTGTTCAAAATGGCTCCACAGATCACCTCAACTTTATTCTTGGCATCTCTGCTGGGGAACTGTTGCCCACTATGAATCATATTTTTACTCATTTATTTGTTTTTTTTTGGTCACCTCCAGCAGTGCTCATGACTTACTCCTGACTCTGTGCTCAGGGATACCACCTACCAGCATTGAGGAGGACCATATGTGGTGCTGGGATCCATAGAATAAGGGTTGGTTGTATGCAGGTACAAACTTAACCTCTGTACTATCTATCTCTCTCTGGCCCATTATAGAAAGTATTGGTTCCTCCAAACAAGTGATGCTACACTTTACACTGTGCTGGGAATCTTTAAACCAGGAACACACGTTTACCTGGTTCGGACTCAGGTAGTTCAGGTCTTGGTGTAGTCTTTGGTCTGAGATGCGGATGAAATGTCTGCTGTGATGTTTTAGAAGCTGAAGGAAGAAATTCTTAGGTTATATATAACTACATCACCTATAGTTCTGGAAGTTTTAGGAGATGAAAACATGACTAAATTTTCTACTTGATAAGATATTTGCCTTTTTAATCTGATATCTTTGTCACATCTACGCTTTATACATTCTCTTCTATCACAGAACTTTTTTTGAAAATGAGCATAGTTTTTTTAATTCAAGAAATTAGTAGATATTATAAAATTTTCAGATGGTAGGCGGATTACATAGCAAAAAGGTTAAAATTTATTGATAAATATTAATGGATAAATCAGTGAACAATAGGAGGACAGTGGCAGTGACAATGAAGAATGGACATACTAAATATGGGATTTGTAATTTAATCTTTTAACCTATAAAATTATGTAACTATTAAAATAAAATGAAAATAGATCACCCAGATAGTAACAACACAAGAAATACTACACAAATCAGAAATAAAATATGTGGTGCTGGAGAGATAGTATACTGGGCAAGGTGCTTGCCTTGCATGAAGCACACCAGGGTTCAATCCCAGGCAATTCATATAGTCTGCAAGCATTGCCAGGAGTGATTCCTGAGTGCAAAGCTAGGAGTAACCCCTGAGCTTTGCTGGGAGTGACAAAAAAACCAAACAAAATCAAAACAACACAAAAAAAGAAATACAAAGTGAAACTGTAGATTTTCTGGACGCTGTTATTTTAAAGGCTTTAATCTATCTAGACAAGAGGCAAAGTGCAATGATGCAGTTGAAAACCAGTTTTACCACTAACACTATTCAAAAGATGACATTTTGTAAGTAAGTTGCACAGCAAGTAAGTATCCTAAAGCAGCTTAATATATAAATAATTTTTTAAAAATAAGTAATTTGTTTTAAGACTTTGCATAGTTTTAAGAAGAATATGAATGGATGATGGCCATGAATAAAGACATTGATGTCAGTCACGTGAAGCAAGATGAATTGATGATAAGATAAATTGATGTTTTTGAAGATAAGCAGTATCAGATTAATTAAAAACACAGTACACCATTACCTAATGTTCCTGGAGTCTCAGGTCTAAGAGTGACAGGTTCAAGAACTGTAGCAGGAACTGACCAAAAATACATTATATCAAAGAGAACTCAATATACATGAAAAAGAATATTTACAATCAAACAATATTTTAATGTATATCAATTCTTCTACTAAAACAAAACTTATTAAATTGAGTGAATGAGTAGATGATTGCTCTTTGAAGAACTGGCCAGACAATGACTTAAGTTGTATTAGACTTAGCTTTTTAACTATCCCAATCATCTTTAAGAAGTCAATGCTCCTAGGTTTTAATTACTGCATTAAAACTGATATGGAAAGCTCTGCGGGAGAAATGCTTTTATTTACTTAAAATAAACTTATAAAATGATTAAAAATCATATAAATCATTTAAGTAAACATGGATGCAGTTATCAATTTATAAGTTTTATGTAGATAAAAAACAAATAGGATATGATGATCTTGTTAAGAACTTATCTACAGTAAGGTTTGAGACTACTGTTAAAATCAGAGGACATTAGAGATTAGAATAAAGACGGCCACTCAGTCTGTCATACTCTGCAGACTGAACAGATTTGATATGTACTAAAATGCACTAAATTCATAGTTTTCACAGATTATTCTTACATAGAAGAAATGGTAGCACTAAGTGGGTTTTACCCATTCCTTGTCTCCTAGGCAGAGGAGCATTGACTGATGATGCCTCATAACTTCACACTTATGAAAACAACTTTGCAGTGTGTTGGGTTCCCACTGGGATGGGATCCTGAAGCTCTCTTTTAAACTAAGGGCATACACATTTACCCGGTTGGCTCTGAGGAGCTTGAGGGTTCGGTGTGGTTTTAGGTCTGGGACGTGGACGTCGGGTTCTCACTGATATTTTGGTAGCTACAGAAAAAAAATTCCTACGTTACTACTTGGTTTTAATTACTGCATTAAAACTCATATGTAAAGATCTGCAGGAGAAATGTTTTTATTTATTTACTTAAAATAAGATAAAAAATTCTCAAAAATCATATAAATCACTTAAGTAAACATGGATGCAGTTATCAATTTAGAAGTTTTATATAAATAAAAATTAATAAATAGGGCTATGATGATCTTGTTAAGAACTTATTGATAGTAAAGCTTGAGATTACTATTTCTCTAGGGCTATAAGCACTGGAAAAGATTTTACTAATGTTAAATTTTCCAATTTCCAAAAATTTTGTTTATAGTTTTAAGTTTTCATTATTTTAGGAATGTGGAGCAATAGCACAGCGGTAGGGCGTTTGCTTTGTGCGCAGCTGGCCTGGCTGAGCCGGGTTTGATTCCTCCGCCCCTCTCGGAGAGCCCAGCAAGCTACTGAGAGTATCTCGCCTGTGCAGCAAAGCCTAGCAAGCTACCTGTGGTGTATTCAATATGCCAAACACAGTAACAACAAGTCTCACGATGGAGATGTTACTGGGCCTGCTCGAGCAAAATCAATGAACAACGGGAGGACAGTGCTACAGTCTTCTAATTGAAAGGCAAAATCATATACACACATTCAACAAATGAAAATTAGAACTCTGGATGAGATACAGAACTTCCAAACAGGGTAAAATGCAAAGTAGCTGCTCAAGTGGTGCAAGGAAAGGTACAGGGAGTGTCATATAGTGGAAAAGGCTGGTAACATAAAATTTCTTAGATATTTTCCTATATGTCAACTGAATACTAAAGCTCATCATTACTTAAAGTATCACCAGCAAAAAAAAACCAGCATGCAAATAGATATAGCTATTTAAACATACATAAGCACAAATATAGCTGGCCAGCCTAGATTGAGAAATAAAGCTCAATGTTTAAATCTCATCTTCAGTAGAGAATACTGTCCACTGAAACACAAGATGGTTAGCACGGCAGTTTTCAAAGCACATCACAGCAGGGATAGTCCGAATTGAGATCATGCCAGTGGAGCTAGTAAAAACAAAAGAATATTTGCTTTTAAGAGGCTTTTCAGTACTCTGTAGACTAAGGCAATGATTGAATGACAATAGAGAATGATGGTGGTCATAATGGAGATGAAGTTCACGATGATCAGCAAAAGCGCTCAGCAAATGGCACAGACTCATTACCTAGTGTTGCTTCAGATGCATCGGTCGTGAATGTAACAAGCCCAAGATCAGTAACGGGAACTAAAGTAATAAAATAAACATTTTTTTAAATGAAGAACTCTTGCGATTGTCTCAAGAATATCTAAAAAAATATTTTCAGATGAAGGGCATTGTAAAATGAATTGAATTTCCCCAAATTTCACGTGAAAGTTCTAATTATCATTGTGATTACATTTGGGCAATAAATGAAGTCATAAGGGTGGAACCTTAGTCTAATAGAACTCAGGTTCTTATAAAGAGAGACAGAGACATACATGCTAATGGACAAAAGAAAGAACTCTAGAATATAGTGAGGTGGCAGCAAACTGCAAATCAAGCACAGAAGACTTGGGAGAAATTGAACTTGCTGATATTACAGCTTCTAGCACAGAAAAACAAATATATTTATGGTGTTTTTTCATCTGGTCTATAGTATTTTATAATGGTAGCTCTTGAAAATTACTAGAATGGGAAATCAATTCTTTTATTCAGACTTGGTCATATTAGAGCTAGAGATTTTCTCATTTTATGAGACAGTGATTACTATTGTCTGTCCCCTGTTTCACAATTCTCTAGTTAGTACTTAATTAAGTAAGCAGTCTTAAAAGCACCTTAGAGGGGCTGGAGAGATAGCACAGTGGGTAGGGCGTTTGCCTTGCACATGGCCAACCCAAGTTTGATTCCCAGCATCTCATATGGTCCCCTGAGCACCACCAGCAAGTAACTCCTGAGTGCAGAGCCAGGAGTAACCCCTGTGCATTGCCAGGTGTGACCCAAAAAGCAAAAAAAAAAAAAAGCACCTTAGGGCATTTAATTTAATTTTTTTTTCCTTGTTTGTTTTTGGGTCAAACCCAGCAGAGCACAGATCTTACTCAAGGCACTGTGTTCAGTAATCACTCCTGGTGGGGGATCATTTTGGGTGCTGGGGATTGAACCTGGGTCTCCTGCAGTGCAGGCAAGGCAAGGACTTGGGACCGAAATGGATATATCCATTTCGGTCCCAAGGCATTTACTTAAAAACATTTCTAACCACCTTAAAGAAGAGATTAGAAGTCTTGTACTTCTGTGACTTTGCTGAACAAACAAATATTTACTATGTTTACCAGGTTATAGTTGCAGAAAAATGTCCTAAGTATCTAACAGTTACTAAACAAATATCAAAAAATAGCTGTGATGATCTAGGTCAAGAACTCAGTTGAGATGATTAAAAATTTACTATCTAGTTAGCATGAATCAAGGTCAAGACACCTCCACTATTACAAGACATTTAGCTTCACAGTGAACTCTGGTTAAACAAAATATATAAACATACATAGTATGTTTTAAAGTAGTTACATGTGAAGAAAATATTACAACTTAGATTCTTGCAGGGTCCTCTTACTAAAAAGAGGCAACTTGTTTTATGGAAATTCTATTCTTCTAAGATAAAGATTATAATTGCGCAGCACCAGAAGAGAATAAATGGTTTTCATAACGAGCAGAAAAAGTACTTGCTGAAAGTAAAACAAATGGTATTACCAAAAGTTGTCCCTGGAATCTCTCTTATAGGAACATCTGGTTCATAGACTGTAGCTGTAATCAACCAAAATAAAATTAAAAAAATAATACTATGTTAAACATTTGTGTAGTCTCAGAACAGTAATTTCAGAAGTAATTTTACATGGTTATATATCCAGAGCACTAAGTAAACAGTATGTTCCTAATGAGTTGAGGTATGTGGTATCTCTTTATGTGTACCAACTTACTACTTAGGGGGGATTCTTAGTACATAGATAAGTCTCCTTATAAATACCCCTGAAATTTATTTTGCCTCTCTCACTTTTGATGATGTTACTCTAAGTAATATGCCTATCTTGTAGATCATATGTATCTTGTTGAAAACTGATCATTGAAAAGAAAACATAATCTTTGACCAGATGGGTTACTTAAGAGAACATAAAAAGGGGCAGGCATTCGGTATGTAAGATGGCAAGGAAATGCCCATGGATAGCGTGATGATTTTTATATGAAATCCAATGTCCTAGATTTAACTTCGACATTAAAAAAAATCATTCCCATCTGATCCCATGGATTCCTTTTATATGCATAATCTCAACAAAATATTCTGATCTGAACATGGGTGCCATCAGAGACATTTCTACTTCTAGTTGACCTTCACATATAGTCCATACTTTCTGGACTTTTTCCATCCCTCTTGTTCCAGCTCTAGAAATATATATTGATTTTAAAGTTAAAATATGCCTAAGTATTATAGCCAATCCTGATTCTTGTCCATAAATTATTTCCATTCAGCCTCGAGAGCTAAGAATGATGTTTCCATTTTCAAGTGGGTATAGAAAAAGAAAAGAAAAAAAGAACAAGAATATGAAAAATAGACTATACAGCCCACAAGCTCCAATTATTTACTCTCTCGATCTTTATAGAATACATTTACTGAATCTCACACTAGTTCTTAATCATGATTTACTTAATTTTTATAGGGATAATAATTGTTTTATGTCTAAATGTGTTTATTCTGTAGCTGCTCTAGTTTCTTAAATTATCTAAACTTTCATGGTTATTGTCAAATGGGAAGTCGAATAGGTATTTTAAGAGAAGATTCTAAAGCATAATGAATTTGGTTACCAAGTGAAGCCTCTCTAACCATATCTGTATTGTTTGTTCTGGTGTGGAAGCAGCTGCTGCCTCTAACTGCCTCTGGTTTCCTGGACCCCATTGGAAAGAGCTTTCTGTATTTTCCAACCAGATTTGCACATTTACCCATTTCAGTCTGAGAGGCTTCAGGCCTTGATGTGGTTTTAGGCCTGGGACGTGGGCGACGAGTTCTTGGAGGCACATTGGTAGCTAATAGAAGAAAATATCAGGTTAATGGGGTGCTTTTTTTTCTTTTTGGGTCACACCTGGCAATGCGCAGGGTTTACTCCTGCCTCTGCACTCAGGAATTACCTCTGGTGGTATTCAGGGGAATATATGGGATGCTGGGAATCGAACCTGGGTTGGCTGTGTGCAAGGCAAACACCTTACCCACTTTGCTAGAGCTCTAGCCCCCTAATGGGGTGCTCTTAATATTTTTAATAGGGTACTTTTAATTTCAGAAGTTGTGGATAAGATTATACTAATTAAAATTCCTTAAGTTTCAGGAACTTTTTCTCTTGAGTTTAAAATATTTTCCCCTCTTTAACAAGTGCATCTTAATATAATTTATATTTCTCTGAAAAACAAAAATTATACAGACACATGAGTTCAAGGATATTTCAAGGAGACTCTCAAAGGAATTTTTGGATAATAAAACACTCCCAAATCTTGCTGAATTCTAGTGGCGATGGGTCCAGATCTTTCTTTCAAAAAATAATAAAAGAAATTTCTTATTACCAAAAGAAAAATAAAATCAGAATCATGGAGATAGTAAAAAATGTAGGCATTTACACCCTCACAATAATTATGTCATATAATAGGAAACGATGACAATGCACTTAACTTTGAGCAAGGATAGATACCCTCACCCCCAATCCCCACTGTTTATGTTTGAAACTCAGCAATAAAGAATATGATTAAGCAATTACATGAGGGATGAGAAGCCACAAATTCAATAGTATTACACTGCAGATATGGATAATGACTTAAGCTCATACTATTTCTCATGAAAACAAATCAGTTGTAACAGCACTTTTTAGCAAAACTAGTTAAGAAGTACTGAAGTATTGAATGATTATTATGACATCAGTCTCATGAAGCAGAAGAAGCTGTGATGGTGACAACAATGAAGCTATGATGATAACAATGATGAAATGGATGGGAAATGAACAGAAAGCTGATGCAGACAGACTGGAGGACATGCCATTACCTAGTGTTGCCGCCGGAGGAGCCTCAGTTCTAAGAACAACTGGTTCAAAGATTGTGGGAGGAACTGATCAAAAGCAATAAAAGAAACCACAAAAGATTTTTGTGAGTCACAAAATTCATCTTACCAGTAAAAATGATGATTCTAAGGTTTCTAAAGAGGAGTGGGCAACAGAAGAGGGAAAAGATGGATTACTTAGAGTCTTGAACCCCATAAGAGGCAGAAATATAGGAATGATGTAGGGAGGTGAGAATGGGTGGCAGGGCACCCTAGGGTCTGTTCACCACACATAGAAGGATGCCCAAAAGAAATATCAGCCTATGCTTACTGGGAGACTAAATCTCACGGAAAATAATGACTTTCAATATAATAAGGTGAGAAACAACATCTCAGTGTTGTGGTATCCTATCAGATGCAGCATCTTTTTGTTCTAAGAATAGAAAATGCATAATTTGTACAGAAAAAGAAATATCATTGAAACCCATCTCAAGAAATTTAAGCTCATGAATAGAATCTCAGCCTTAATTAAATTTATCCCAGGGGCCCACTTTAATGGGAGAGCAACAGGTCATTCTCTGGGACATCAACTTCAATACATTTCCTGCTTCTCAAACTGTTTTCCATCATCTTCCCACTCATTAAATTCTGTACGGATTTTTTCCCTAATTGTTCCAGATCTTTCTCTATTCAAAATATTTACTAGGATCTTAGCATAAAACTTTCCTATAACTGGATAAATTATTTTGCATTCACATAGTGTGGTGCCTTGTTATTTTTTTTACCTTTCTTATTATGCAAGAGTAGCATTTAACTATAACTGTGATACAAACTGGGAAATAAAACATACTTCCTTTTGATATGTGCCCCAGTCACTAATGTGATTATGGGTATATTAGAGGATTAATAAAAGTAGTTGACTTTAATTGTGTTGGCTCAATGATTCATTGAGAATAGTATCTTTCATACATGAATGAGAACAACTAGTAAGCTAGTAAATAATTGTTGATGGAGAATATTCCAGAACAGGAAATAAAAGCTGTTCATCCCCATAATTAGTAGCCCTTACTTTTAATTTTATACAGAATGTGTCCATTTTGGTGAATAAAATTTGGGGTCCCAACTAGGATAAGTTGTTTAGATTCTGTAAAGCAGAAACCACATATTTACCCAGTTTGGTCTCAGATACTTCTGGTTGGGGTGTGGTTTTAGGTTTAGGACGGGGACGGGGACGTCGGGGTTTCTTTGTGGTTGTAATTGTGGTTGTTGTTGGAGCTGAAGAAAGAAAAGTTAGGATTAATATAGTGTTTGTGCTCCATAAACTCTGAAAAGCATGTTGTGATATGGTTTTAAGATTTTTTTTAAACTTGTCAGAATTTCTTTGAGTGGATAAAGGGGTTACTTTGGTTGAAATTTTTTCTTTAATAACATATTACTAGAATCATTTTATAACCAGAGATACACAGAAATATAAATTATACAAAAAGTTAAAAAAATGATAGTTAACAAAAAATTAAATCATTTAACAAAAATTGTACCTAATTCAAAATGTGGTTACAAATTGCTGCTAAACAACAATGACAATGAGAGGTTCAAACTACTCTAGAGCATTCACTTATAATTTAAAATGACTAGGTTTGGGCCAATTTCCACCTGGTAACTACTAAAGTATAGGAAATTTGCTGAAACATAAACAAAATAAAACAATTAAATGGAACTTTAATACACAGAATGAGATGTTTACGGATACTCAATTGCATCATAATAAGTACTGTATTGGTTGTCTAAGGGATATAAAGAAAATCATTTGTGTCTTAGCTGTAACATATGGTACTATCTGAATAGAGACTCAGATCAGCATGATGAAGATATGAACTGAGATAGATAGATTGAATTAAGTCCATCTATATTTCCATTGAAAATAAAGTCATTAATAAAGAATTTAAAAATATTATATGTAACTGAATGAAAACAAATGGCAATCATCCTCTACATAGCATCATAGATAAGCCTGACAGTGAATAATAAAAATTACTTGCTGAATGACAAAAAGGATCATTACCTACATATGTCCCAGGAGTAATAGGTTGAGGGTCTGTGTCAAGAAATCAAAATCAAAAAATATTAAATGACTAAAGTGTGATTAAACTCTTAAATATGAAGTATACAACTTTAAAAGTGATTTAATAAATTTAATAACCAATTTTTTCTTAAGACTCAAAGGGCACAAAGATACCTATTTTAATTAACGAGTTATTTAAATTATAACTCCCCATTATTAGCTACAAATTAAATAAGAGAAAACTCTACCTAGAAGACCCTTTGGATATCCAATAACAATTCTTAATAATTATTAGAAATGAATAATTTCAAGTAGATATATGGCAACATAATAAAATGGAAAACAAATCTCTGAATTAAATAGGTTGAAAAATTGTTTATATATTTAAGTAGCTGGTATAATGAATAATCAAATGCTCTTCTGTGTTGGGAATAACTCCAAACTTCTATCCAAACAAAGACATAAAAAAAAAGAGCAGGAACCAGAGTATCAGTAATCGGCAAAACTCATCAGTGGATCCTTGGTATAAGCATACAAACACCTCACAGAGGAGGATAGGAGACAGTACTACAGTCAATTGACTCAAATCTAATCACTGAAGTAAGGCATTCAAGGCCCTCTTCATGGACCCATTGAAAAGCAGCATCAATGACCAACAAGTCTGGAACAAGCTGAGTGAAGCTTTCTCCTTTCTACAATTGACTTTCATTTTAAATTTCCATCCTGCTCTCATCCATACATGTGAACACTTTCTGACCTGTTTATGCCATTCTTGCCTATATAGTCAACAAACTTACAAACTTTCTACATTTCAGGTCCACATAAGTCTAACAATCCAAGGATCTTTTATTTAAGAGATTAAGTCTGTGCCTAGCATTTGGCAAAACTCAATAAATATGTTACTTTCAACTACATTCCTATATGTTTATTTACAAACCACTCATTCAGCAACTATTTTCTTTTTTCAGCCAACCCAGGTCACTTATTATCTCTAAGCAGTCCCATACAAATGCTGACATGGCACTTACAAGAGTGTGGAACCAATTGAACTCAATCTGCTAGCAAGAAAAAAATTTATTAAGAATCAAAGATAAAATAAGTAAATAAACTGGTCAGAGAAGCTGATAACAGACACAGGTGCCACATAACTTAAGTTACCGGGGTTCGCTGTAATAATCTGCTCATTGCAGCTACATTCTATGACCTGAGTCTTCACTTTAAGAGTAACCTAGATGGCAAAATAAACTACATCCCAATATCACACATAAAGGATTTCCACAGGTACCAGGAACCATATTTACCTAGTTTGCTCTGAGGTATCTCTGGGTTTGGTGTGGTTTTACGGTCAGGGCGGGGACGACGTGTTCTTATTTTTGGGGTTGTTTTTGGAACTAAAGAAATGAAACTGATTAATATTTTCTTATAATTTCAGAAACTAAAGAAAAGCTCACATATAGTGCTAGTTTCTTAATATGATTTCCAACAACTTTGCTCTAATCTTAAACATTAAAATCTTTTTCTGCCAGGTCTTCTTGAATCTTGAGAAATTTGTCTCAAGACAAATCTTGAGAAATCTTGAAATTTTGCCTAGAAAGATTTGTTTGCTATCCATATGCAAAAAACTGAGGTAGAGGCCCATATATATTGATAGTTCTCTTGAGAAAGCATAAAGAAGCTTAATAATTCCAAAAATTGTTATTATTGCTGGTACAGGATTTTCAAAGCTCTGACTCAAAAGGAAGTCTTAATACATTTATATTACAGAGAAGGAAACAGTCTCAACTATGCTGGAAGAATATACTGAGAAAATTCCTGGCTTAGGCATATATTCCTCTGCATATTGTTAAAATAAGTACATTTTATACTTAAAATCATTGGCAGACAATAAAAATCTCCTACAAACCTCAAAACAACTCTCTATTGATGCCCATATAGTTACAGCAGATAATTATGGAGTCACAGACTCCTAACTATATTTGAAACAGCCTTAATGCAGAGCAATAAGCAGAATTTCTGGCTCTGTAAAGTATTAGTAAACTAGAAAAAATTAAATACAGATGCTTGGCATTAGTAGTATACAGGCTTACTCGTAATCTAAGTAATGTATTTAAACATATTTACTACATTAAAAATGGAGAATATAGTTGAATCGTATGAGATAATGAGAAAATATTATGAAATGGAAAATTCCTTTACTGAGATTGATGTGGACTGGACTGGTGATCAGTAAGTAGGAAAAGCACCAGATTAAAACATGGAAGATCATTACCCAGCGGTGTCCAGGGAGCCTCAGTTGTTAAAGTTAAAGATTCAATGTCTGTAGCAGCAACTGACAAAAAGCAATAAAATAAATAATTGATATTAAAGAAACACAGGAAAAGGAAAATGATCTTGAAAAGAACCTCCTTAACTCTGTAATGTTTGAAAGGCATTTCTGAATGTTGGAGAAACAATTCTCTAATAATGGCTGGTCTCTGATAATCATCTATCTCACAAAACAGATATAATTTGCAGTTTGTTATCACTATGAGGTTAAGGAAGAGTTTCTAATTTTTCCCATGTGTTTAATTTTTTGATTTTTACTATATTAGAAATGTGAATCTAAAAATCTCTTAGTTGTCTGATTTTTACTTTAAATTACTAAGAAAACCTATTAGGAAATTTTGGTCAGTATTTTAAAAGTTTTATCACTATTATTATTATTTACTACTGCTATTATTTACCTGGTAGTGATCAGGAATAACTCCTGACAGTGCTCAAAGCACCAGATGAAGTGCTGGGGATTGAACCCACTTGGCTGCATGCAAGTCAAGCACCCTAGCTGCTGTACTATCTCTCTGCCCTCTTTACCACCATTATTAATATTTGTTTTAAGAGTTGGTGATGGGGTGATGGTGAGAATGTTTTTAATTTTTTTTTTTTTTTTTGCTTTTTGAATCACACCCAGCAAAGCTCAGGGGTTACTCCTGGCTCTGCACTCAGGACTCACTCCTGGTGGTGCTCAGGGGACCATATGAGATGCTGGAAATTGAACCCGGGTCGGCTGCATGTAAGGCAAATGCCCTACCTGCTGTGCTATCGCTCCAGCCCCAGTTTTCAAATATTCTTAATCAACCTTTTGGAAATCTGTGATAAACTATGCAAAAGATAAGCTTCTGTGTTCTCTCCATAATAAACGTGACACTGCTGGGTTAGTATCTTTCATTTATTTTCATTATTCTACCCCACATCACTTCTAAAAGGTAAAGGTAAAGGCCCTCCCGTTGATCGTCGATTTGCTGGAGCGGGCCCAGTAATGTCTCCATTGGAGACTTTGTTGTTACTGTGTCTGGCATATCGAATACTCTCGGTAGCTTGCCGGGCTCTCCGAGAGGGGCGGAGGAATCGAACTCGGGTCGGCCATGTTGGCCGCTTGTAAGGCAAACGCCCTACCCGCTGTGCTATCGCTCCAGCCCATCACTTCTAAACAATGTTGATAATTTTCGTTCATATGTTCCTTTACGTCAAATAGATATTAAGAGATCATTTTTCTGACTTTTTTTGCAGGGGGCATTTTGTTTGCGGGGGCCTTCACCTGGTGTGCTCAGGCTTTTTCCTGGCTTTGTGCTCAGAAATCAGTCCTTCAGGCTCAAGGGACTATAGGGTGTGCTGGGAATCAAACCCAGGTCAGGCACATGCAAGGAAAATGCCTTACCCTCTTTACTATCATTCTGTTCCTTCTTTTAAAATTAGAAACACAATGAAGAAGATTAAGAATAGCTGAAAATAATTCATTTTTTAATCTAGGAAAAAAGAGGATTTCTGCAATTCTACAATATTCTGAAACAATCAAATGATACATGTATAAAACTAAGAATTCCAACTCTTTGGTTTTAAATTAGTGGTTAAAATTAATTTTCATTAAATCCTGGATTGAATTTAATAGTAAGACAGCTGATCATTGAATACCTATTGAACACTTACATGGAGATTATTTTTTCTCTGATTCTCCAAGGTATCACATTATAAAGTTACATTAGAGCATAAACTAATAAAAATATGACATGCAGTAGAGATGGGAAGAGCCAGAACAATGAGAACAAAACAAGATTCAAAGTAGAAACCTTCAAACAAAATTTAAAGGGGATAAGATCCCTTTTTTGTTTGGAATTCAGTATCACAAGATGAATTTGTCAAAAGAAATGTCCAGTTGCATTTGAGTGGCATGATATCAAGAAAGAAAAAAGACACTTATGAGAAAGAGACAATTATGACCCAGCAGTTTTTTTAGTTTTCATTGCTCCTTTTCCAAATGAAAGCAGTGCTCTCAAAAACTTTCTGATTTGAAGACTGGATGAAGTGAGCACGTGTGACTCTTGACAGCATCAAGTGCTTCAAGCAATATAAATGACTTTGAATATGATCGAAGAAAGCAGAATTTAGGAGCTGTAAGTAGAGCTGCAGATGTAAGAACACCTAATGTTGTTAAGAAAGATCCCTTTTGAGAATTGTAAATAATTTTGAAAATGAATAAAAGATATGATGGATGATGATCATTGCAAAAGAGAATACAGATGACAGAGAAGGGAAGCAAGCACACACACACACACACAAAATTGACCAATAAAAAATTGTTACCTATGTGCATGGAAGAAGAATCCACCTCAAATGTAACAGGCTCAAAGACTGTGTCATAAAAATAGACATAATAAGAAACACTAAATATCAGGGGCTCAATAATGCTTAATTCAGAACTTCCAAAGCCTTAATAACTTTACATAAATCACTTTCTTGACTGACTTTTATGACATGCTCCTAGTAAATCATAATTTTACATTAGATAGACTCTTAGAAGAAAATTTTAGTGGCAAAATAATTGAGCTTTCAGAACTTTTATAAGATTAGCTTTCTTGGTAGGTAATATCTCAACTAATAGATACTGTTTAAAATGCCAATCGATTATCTAAGAGGAGTCAATTTTTTGGGGAGGTTTTTGGGTCACACCTGGCAATGCACAGGGTTTACTCCTGGCTTTGCACTCAGGAATTACTCCTGGCAGTGCTCAGAGGATCATATAGGATGCTGGGAATCGGACCCAGGTCAGCCGTGAGCAAGGCAAACACCCTACCCACTGTATTATCGCTCCAGACCCGAGGAGTCAATTCTTGATCGAGTCTTTTTCAATTGTGTCTATTACGAAAGAATACAGTAAGCCTCTGCAGCACTGCTTAGTAATGGCTGCTAAAATCACTTTCAAGTATGTTGTTCATCCAGTAAATCAGACTTCTGTGCATCACAAACATGAATTCAGAGACTAAATCTCACCACTGGTTTAAGAAAATAGAGTCTACTGGAATACTACCATGTAAAATATGTTAGTTTACTATACAGTGATCCATTCATTTAGCACTTAAAACTTAAAAGAGTGACTATGTTGAGAAGACAAGGAATAAAACCATGTTATTTGGATTTCCATATTTGATATTACATGTTGGTTATAATTTCAGTGCCACCCTAAAGGAAAATCTTCTTAAATTAAAGTATTGAAAATTATGTTTACCGGACTCAGTTGGTGACATATCTGGTTTTGTAGTGATTTGGGGTTTAGGAAGGAATTGCTTTGGTGGTTTTAAATCTGAAGGGGAAAAAGGAGCAACAATTAGTGCTGTGGTAGAAGTATGAATGTAAAGATTAATGCCTTTTTATACTGTTTTCCTAGCTATAGATCAAAGCACTGAAAGCAGTGATTACCAGTTTGTATTTGAGGTGCATCTGATATATGTATAGTTTCAGGTAGTGCAGATGGTTTTTGTGCTAAAAAAAAGTATAAAAATTAGCATAAAGATCATAGTTGCTGCTATTACTTTAATAAAACATATATCTAAGCAAAGTTACTATATATCTAAAACTTAACAAAAATTAACTTCTAGGGTGTGGGAAGAGTGGGAAATACATTCATATTTTACAAATTTTTCTAAAAGGAAATTTAAAAAAAAAATATCCAAGAGGTTCCACTGGTACTGTTATGAGAACTAAAATAAGACTTTTTTCTATATAAGTAAATTAAAAATGAATAACATGATAGTTATATTTAATAGGTGGGTTTCTTCAGTATAGAAATGGCAACATAAAAGTCATGACATTTGTTTAGTGGTTGACCTGGAAAATTACCCTTAAACATTTGAAATTTTAAAAGAGGAACAAAGCTATATGTTTCTGGATTTCTGAATTTTCTAAAGCAGAGACAGATTAATTTTAAATGATGAGAAATGATAATGAAGTAATTATAATCAAACAGAAGAGTATAAAAACAATTGTTTCAGTAGTAAAAACAAACACATCAGCTTGGGAACTTCTAATGTTCCAACTGACAGGGATAATCCATTTGGCATTGGTTCTTAGATCAAGAACAGCATGTGCCTCTAATTGTCTAAACATATTTAAAAACATACTTCAAAGAAAATGAAGAGTTGAAGCCTTATGTCATGCAGCTCTTGAAAAGAAAATTTTACAGACTGAATGAGTTAAGCAATGGAATTATAATTATGGCACTGTAATGAAATGTTGCCACTTGTAAATCCAAAAGGAGCACAGACAATGGGTTGAGCACATGCTCTGAATCCTGGAGGCTTGAGTTTGATCCCCTGTACTATACTGTCTTCCCCCAAGCCCCTAGTGCTGCTAGATGTAGGCTAAGCAAACTAACAGAATAGCCTAGAAGACCCCATTCTGAGAAAGAGTGGTGTATTTCAACACAAGGGCACAAATGCTGGAATGACACACATATGTGGAGAACCAGGCATTGTATTTAAGATCACAGACCTTCCCTAAATACGCACTTCTTTCAGAAGTCTGCTCGATAGGTTCTTCAAACCCAGAAGGAAAAAAAAGTGAAAGAAGCATGGAATGAAATTGTAATAGGACGACAGAACTGCAGTCATGCCTGTGTGCAGAGCAGGAGAATCAAAACAACAGTCCATGAAAGAAATCCAAGAAGAATTAAATTACACCTCATTGCCATGGATAAGCATCCAATAGAAGAGTTTTAGAGTGTCTCACTTATTATTACACTTAAGGATGGGCTTACAGCTCAGTGTATCTAACAACTCCAATATAAAACAGATTTAAGTTCAAAAGCATAAATGGGATCAGGAAACAATGTGCACAAACACTTAACCATAAAAATCAACTACTCTGCTTCCTAAAACTCAGTTATGTTGTTAGTAACTGGCAGTTAAACCAGCAGTGGCCTATTATATTTCTTACATTAATTAGAACCCTAATCATTCAATTTACCAGGTTTGGAGTAAGGAGCATCTGGACTAGGTGTAGTTTTAGGGCGGGGACGGCGACCTGGTCGTTTGGTCTTTACTGGAGCTGAAGAAAGAAAATCAACTAGTTACTAGAAGAGTATTGCTGTATAAGCTGACCATCAGTACTACATATCTTTTGGAGGCGCATTTACGACGTATAACTTACTGTGACTGTGTCTCCCCTGTTATGTAACTTTCATTCATTACTGACCCAACTAAGTGAGGTCTTGAAAAATTGATCAGAGACATACAAGCGTTATTAATCAAGAGCAATCTCTATTCTTCCATTTTTGAAGTGGAACATCTCAAAACTTTATATAGCTTAGAGAATATAGGTTAAGAACATTTGTTGGAGGTGTATGTTCTAAAAGAACATGAGAAAAGTTGCTGTGAAGATGCCACTAAGAAGTAAAATTTATTTGGCTGACAATTTGATTTTCTGCTTTTGGCCACACCCAGCAATGTTATTTATTACTCCTGGCTCTGGGCTCAGGAATTATTCCTGGTGGTGCTTGAGGAACCATACGGGATGTCAGGGATCAAACTGGGTTGGCTGAGTGCAAGACAAATGTTCTATCCGCTGTATGGCCCCCTGGGCCAACAATCTGATTAAAACTGTCATTAAATAATGACATTATTTAAAGACATTTAAGCATTAAATGACATTAAAATAATGTTTTAAATAATTTAAATAACCTTTTTTTAATTTAAATAATCTTTAAATTTAGAAATATTTTTAGGAAGGTCAACAAACTTAGTTTGCAAGGATTGAAAGATTTTCCTTTCAGAGAACACAGAACACATACATACATGTAAGTACACATACAAAGTAGACACAGATGGATGAACTCAGTAATGGAAGCATATCAATATAGATACAAGGAGTCAGGAAAGAAACAGATTACTCCCACTGTAATTGCATTACCTAATGTTGTTAGAGGTTTGGTTTTCAGTACTACAGGTTCTAACACTGCATGAAAAATCACGGAGGAATCAAAATCAGAGGAAAATTGATGAAATACATTTAAGTATGGAAAGTACTAGATTCTTAACTACTAACTTTAGCAAACATGAAAAAGGAAACTTTTATCCAAATAGCAAATTCATTTTAAAATTTGATTCTTGTGTTTTCAGACAAGCTGGGCAAAATGTAACCAGTTAATTTGGGATGAGAGAATGGAGGAAAAAGAGCATGAACCTCATTGGAATATGTGATGAGAAAAGTGATCAGCAGCTCAAACTCTGAGGAAAAATATGGGTAATTGGCAAAGATGACATCATAGGACTGTTTCCACTCTGTTGAAAAAAAAGCAGTTATAAAGATTTGAGGTCATTTTTAAAAATTGTTCTTTGAACAGACTTCCTAGCAACACAATAGGATAGTTTAATCTGTAAATATCATAATACTTTTCAAGAAAATTTGCAAATGTTAGATTGTTGAAAGAAGTAAAAGTACACATATGTGCCAGAAAAGCTATGATTCTCCACTGAAAATAACTAGGTTAAGGCAAGTTGAGAACATATTCTTCAAATATAAGGAAAGCCAATAAATAAAGTTTCAAATCAAAATCAGTATGAATATTAAGGTTGTCTTGAAAAAGCCTCTGCTTAGTTAAGTGCAGGCAGAGAATAAACGGATCATCTAGAAAAAGTTGATTAAAGTACCTAAGGGAATATTTCTTAATAGTTTTGTATATAGCACACCTGACTATTTTCAGGTATTATTTCTGGCTCTGCACTCAGTGATCACTCCTGGCCTTGAGAGATCATACATGGTGCCAGGGATTGAATCTGGGTGGTCTCATGCAAGGCAAGTACTATCTGATATGTATCTTTCTAGCTACATGAACTATTGCTAATGAACTATTTTCCCCCATTACCTAATATTTTTGACTGCTAAGGAGATACTAAAGCCTGAGAAGATAGTTTAAAAAGAGGTCAGGGTGGCGGAGGCGCCTCCTGCAGGGACAGCATGCGGCTCGAGAAGTATTACTTCTGCTAGGGATCCATCTACCCCGGCCACGGCATGATGTTTGTCCGCAACGATGGCAAGGTGTTCAGATTCTGTAAGTCCAAGTGTCATAAAAACTTTAAGAAGAAGCACAACCCTCGCAAAGTCAGGTGGACGAAAGCCTTCAGGAGAGCGTTCGGCAAAGAGCTTACAGTGGATAATTCATTTGAATTTGAAAAACAAAGAAATGAACCTATCAAGTACCAGCGAGAGCTAAGGAATAAAATGATTGATGCAATGAAGAGAGTAGAAGAGATCAAGCAGAAAGGGCAAGCTAAATTTATAATGAACAGGTTGAAGAAACATAAAGAACTAAGGAAAGTTGAGGATACTAAGGAAGTAAAGCAAAATACCCATCTTATCCGTGCCCCTATAGCAGACAAAGGAAAGCAGCTGGAAGAAAAAATGTTACAGAAATTACAACAGGATGTGGACATGGAAGACGTTTCTTAATCCCCCCACCGTGAACCACTTTTATACAGGCACTGGAAAATCTCCTTTGGAGTCTTGGAATTTTGAAATCATTGTTTCATTTTGTCTTATGTTAGTTCCTTCAAACGAAAGGTTTGAAGATGCTTTTGCCTTGCTATCTGCAAAGCTTAAGTGAGTATAGATATTAGGTCATATCTCAGTGTAAACCCTTTACTGACAGATATACTTAAGTAAGTCTCAAAAATTCTGTTGTAAATAGAAAAGTGCATTGAGAAAATAAAGTCATACTGTTTAAATATTGCAGTATTTACAAACAATTGAGAAAACTTTTGACTCGATGTTATAGAAAACATTTTTGCTGTAAAATATTTTCTTTATTAATGTTGTAGAAGGAAAATACGATAATGAACTAACAATCTGTGATGCTTATGTAACTTTGATTTGTCTTTTTTTCATTAAGCTCTCCGAAAATTATAGTGGGCTCCTATATTGAGGGCTAATTATATTGAACTATACTTCAATATAATTATATTGAATTATATTTTGACCTAACTTGATTGGTGTGATAGGTCGGGTAAGAGTTGCGTTGTGTGTCTCTGGATTGGCACTGTACTGTGTAACTTGACCTGGTTTCCGGTAACAGCTGTTTCTCTAGTTTCACAGATTTAGAAGCAAGGGGTCATGTGCCTTTAATAGAGTTTTTATTTTCCTGTAAAGTAAAAAAATTTTTTTTCAAAGTTGAATTTATGGGTTGCATCTTTATATATTGTTTGAATATAAAATGAACTATGTATAAAGATAAAAAAATTAAAAAAATTAAAAGAAGTCAGGTTGCCTCTGAAGTTCTGAGTGATCTGTTGGCTGCCATTTTGTTTTCTTAGCGGGCAGTAAGGTTCATTCTAAGAGTAATAGATCCATCAGACCTATAATCATGTCTGAATTCAGTTAGTTTTGAATGATTTACAGAATGGATGTAACTTTGATACTCTTAAAATTAAGATAGGAATTAAACTTACATTCTAAATGGGGCACTATTTTTCTTATGGCATTTCCCATAATTACTAATAGTTATTAATGGTGGGCACATTGCTTCAAATAAAAATTCAGTCCCTTTTTATTTATTTATTTTTGAATTTATATTAGTGAAACACTATGAGGTACAGTTGTGGACATTACAAGTTTTTGTGCTTGGGTTTCAATTATACAATGATCGAGTACCCATCCCTCTACCAGTGCCCATTCTCCACCACCAATAATCCCAGTATCACTCCCACCCCACATAGATGTACCAAAGTTTCTTTAACCAGTCATCTGTTCTAGGGCACTTGTGTTTTTTCAGATTTTGGTTATTGTGAACAGCACAATAATGAACATAGAAGTATAGATGTCATTTCGATTATACTTTTTTGCCTCTCCAGGATATATTCCCAGGAGTGGTATTGCTGGATCAAATGAGAGCTCAATTTCCAATTTTTTGAGAATCTTCCATATGTTTTCCAAAAAGGCTGAACCAGTCGGCATTCACACCAGCAATGAAGGAGAGTCCCTTAGTCACCACATCTGCGCCAACACCAGTTGCCTTATTCTTTTAGATGTGGGCCAGTCTCTGTGGTGTGAGATGATATCTCTTTGTTGTTTTGATATGCATCTCCCTGATGATTAGTGATGTACAGCATTTTCTCATGTGCTTTTTAGACATTTGGATTTCTTCTTTGAGAATGTTTCTGTTCATTTCATCACCACATATTTTGATGGTGTTGGATGTTTTCTTCTTGTGGAGTTCAACCAGTGCTTTGTATATCCTTGATATCAACCCCTTAGCAGATGGGGATTGGGTGAATATACTTTCCCATTCTGTAGACTGTCTTTGTATTCTGGTAACTGTATCTTTTGGGGTGCAGAAGCTTCTTAATTTAAAATATTTGTTTATCTCTGTTTCCACTTGGTCGGTCAGTGGAGTGTCATCTTTGAAAATATCATTAGCCTCAATATTGTGGAGGGTTTTGCCGACCTTGTCTTCAATGTATCTTATGGATTTTGGCCTGAAGTTGAGTTCTTTAATCCATTTTGATCTGACTTTTGTGCATGGTGTTAGGTTGAGTTCTAAGCCCCCCCTTTTTTTATTAGTGAAACATCATGTGGTACAGTTGTAGACTTACAAATTTTGTGCTTGAGTTTCAGTTGTACAATGACCAAATACCCATCCCTCCACCAGTGCCCATTCTTCACACCCAGTGATTCCAGTATCCCTCCACTCCCCCATCCCACCCCACCCCTGTGGCAGGGCATTCCCTTTTGTTCTCTCTCTCCTTTTGGGTCCTGTGATTTGCAAAAGAGACATTAAGTGGCAATCATGTTTATTCTATAGTCTACTTTCAGCATGCATCTCTCATCCTGGGAGGATTCTCCCAACACCCTTTATTTGGTGTTCCCCTCTCTATCTGAGCTGCCTGCCCACCTTCCCTCCTCCCCCAGCATGTGCGGCTGGCCTCCAAGCCATGGAGTGAACATCCTGGTACTTATCTCGGCTATTCTTCGGTGTTAGTCTCCTATTTTGTTACTTTATATTCCCCAGATGAATGCAATCTTTCTATGTCTGTCCCTCTCTTTCTGACTCATTTCACTTAGCATGATACTTTCCATGTAGTACCACTTGTATGTAAATTTCATGACTTCATCTTTTCTAACAGCTGCATAGTACTCCATTGTGTAGATGTACTAAAGTTTCTTTAACCAGTCATCTGTTCTCGGGCACTCAGTTTTTTTCCAGATTTTTGGCCATTGTGAATAGTGCAGCAATGAACATAGAAGCACAAATGTCATTTAGACTGTACTTTTTTGCCTCTCCGGGATATAGTCCCAGGAGTGATATAGCTGGGTCAAATGGGAGCTCAATTTCTAATTTTTTGAGAATCGTCCATAATGTTTTCCAAAAGTGCTGAATGAGTCAGCATTCCCACCAGCAGTGAAGGGGAGTCCCTTTCTCGCCACATTCGCGCCAACACAGGTTGCTTTTGTTCTTTTGGATGCAGGCCAGTCTCTGTGGTGTGAGGTGATACCTCATTGTTGTTTTGATCTGCATCTCCCTGATGATTAGTGATGTACAGCATTTTATCATGTGCCTTTTAGCCATTCAGATTTCTTTGGAAAAGTTTCTGTTCATTTCATCACCCAATTTTTTTGATGGGTTTAGATGTTTTCTTCTTGTAGATGCCTTTAATGTCTTTTTCTTGCCTTCACTATTACAAGTACTTTCAGTATTGTATTGCACAGAAGTGGTGATAGAGGGCATCCTTGTCCCTGATCTTAGAGAGAAGCCCTTAGTTTTTCCCCATTGAGGATAATGCTTACCATGGGTTTGTTGTAGATGTTGAGGAAAGTTCCTTCAAAACCCATTTTGGTGAGATTTTTATTTTCATGATAAACGAGTGCTGGATTTTCTCAAAAGCTTTCTCTGTGTCTATTGATATGATCATATGGTTTTTATCTTTACTTTTGTTGACTTGATAAATTATGTTGATTGATTTCCGAATGTTAAACCATCCTTGCATCCCCTGGAGCTCACTTGGTTGTGGTGTATGATCTTTTTGATGAGTTGTTGGATTCTATTTTCTAATATTTTATTGAGGATCTTCGTGTCCATGTTCATCAGGGATATTGGCCTATAGTTTTCTTTGTTGGTGGTGTCTTTGTTTGCTTTTGGTATTAGGGAGATATGTGTCTCATTGAAGATGTTTGGAAGAGTTCCTGTATTTTCAATTTCCCGGAAAAGCTTGAGGAGAACTGGCAAAAGGTCTTCTTCATAGTGAATCCATCTGGGACTGGGCTTTTGTATTTGGGAAGAATTTTGATTACCACTTCAAGTTTCTGATATACATGGGTCTATTCAGGTATCCCAAGTCTTCTTGGTTCAATCTTGGGAGATTATAGGAATCCAGAAATTTATCCATTTCTTCTAATTTCTCTTGTTTCGTGGTATACACACTCTCAAAATAGTATCTGATGATCTTTTGAATTTCATTGGTTTCGGTTGTAATGTCCCCATTTTCATTTCTGATTCGGTTTATTAGGATTCTCTTTTTGTGAGCTTGCTAGTACTTTATCAATCTTATTTATTTTCTCAAAGATCAGCTCTTGGTTTCATTGACCTTTCGGATTGTTTTTTGGGTTTCCATCTTGTTAATCTCTGCTCTGCATTTTATTATTTCTTTCCTTCGGCCAAATTTGGGTTCCTTTTGTTTGTCTTTTTCTAAGATCTTGAGCTGTGAGGTTAGGTTATTTATGTAGGCCCTTTCTTTCTTCCTTAGGAATGTTTGCAGTGCTATAAACTTTCCTCTTAGCATGGCTTTAGCTGAGTCTCATAGGTTCTATTAGCCCGTGTCTTCATTCTCATTTTTTTCCAGGTATCTTTTGATTTCATCTTTGACTTTCTTCCTGGGCTGGAGTAATAGCACAGTGGTAGGGCGTTTGCCTTGCATGCAGCCAACATGGCCAACCCGAGTTCGATTCCTCCGCCCCTCTCAGAGAGCCCGGCAAGCTACCGAGAGTATCTCGCCCGCATGGCAGATCCTGGCAAGCTACCCGTGATGTATTCGATATGCCAAACACAGTAACAACAAAGTCTCCAATGGAGACGTTACTGGGCCCGCTCGAGCAAATCGATGAACAATGGGAGTACAGTGACAGTGACAGTGACTTTCTTCCTGACTCACTTGTTGTTCAACATTGAGTTGTTTAGTTTACAGTTGTTTGATTTGTTTCTCGGTGTCTTTGTGTGATTCACTTCTATCTTCAGCACATCATGGTCTGAAAAGATTGTTGATACTATTTTTATCTTCCTGATTCTATTGAGGTATGTTTTGTGGCCTAGCATGTGGTCTATTTTGGAAAATGTTTCGTGTGCACTGGTAAAGAATGTGTATTCTTTCTTTTTGGGCTGTAAAGCCCTGTGTATGTCTTTTAGACCTTTCTCCTCAACATTCAGTGGCTTCCTAAGATAGATTTCTAAAGCAAAACATTTTCTTCAAAAACCCCTTGTTTAAGCCTCTAATTCACCCATCCATTAAAAATATCGAAGCCAGTATTTATCAAAGCAATTACTGTTTTAACAAGGTTTCCTCTTGACAATTCAACAAATATTTAAAAACAAACTCTGGACTGGAGCGATAGTACAGTGAGTTGAAGTTTGCCTTGTACACCACTGACGCAGGTTTGATCCCTGACATGACAGATACTCCCCTGAGCTCCACCAGGAATGATCCTGAATGCAGAGCTGGAGTAAGGACTGTGCACCACCAGGTGTGACCCCAAAGCCAATAAATGAATAACATTTAAAACAATATTAAGTATAACAGGTAATATAAAAACTTTGCATAAGAAAAGTCAAATTACAAACAAATAACTACACCACTCACCTCTATACAAAAATTAATATTACTCACTCATTGATTTGTGACTGGTGATAAGAACAGCATGAACTGTTCACCATTATAGAGCACCATGTAAAATAGGGACAGCTAATTGTAAGGTACTCTGGAGTTCTTTTTCAATAAGTTAAAAAATTAAGAATAAAATGCCATTACCATCTTAAAAATGAACTTCACTGAAGAAAACATTGCAATTAGATGACATATACAGGTTGGGACATGGTAGTTGCTAGGACTTTTTTTTTTTAAATAAAGCACTGCATTCTGCATATAAAACAAGTCAAAATCATTGTAGATTTTTGCTCGTTAGTTTAAAACCACAAAGGAAAACTGAAGGAAAAGCAGCCTGCATGGAACATGAAATGGAAAATCAGAGTGTGAGGAGAGGGTGTAAAGGTGGTAACTCTGTTGAATCAGAAAATCTTAGAGTTTTATTTATTCTCTTTGGCTGGAAACAAAGTTTTCAGCAGAGCTTTAATGGTGGTGCCTGCTCTAAAATAAAAGCAAAATTTAAAAAGCTTAAACTCAAGCAGTGATTGCAAAGATTCACTTATTACTTTCTGTTTCATGAGGCTGCTCCAGGTATACTTTCTGGGACAGCTGCATTTGCCATTAAAGGGCAAATGTGGATATACTTAGTGATTAAAAGTTAGTAGGCAAAGGAACAGAACTCCATTCACGTCCACATTTTAAGATGAAATGTCAAAATAAGACTTTGCTCAAACACCTAAGAATGATAAGCATGTATTAGTCTTATTTGAATTAATTCCCTTTCAAAAATATTTTTATAAAACCACTGAAATTAATAACTTGTCTAAATTATATAAACCAGAATCAATGTTTGAAGTGCTTTTTAGCTCTTAAATTTTATCCTTTAGCAACAGAAGTAACTATATTGAGAAATATTTATTAAAATTAGCGACCCAAACATACTGAAATATTTCTTATTCTGTTTGGTAATAGCTTTCTATTAAAATGGCATAAACATAATAGTTATTTTACATCTAAAACCCTCTAAGCATGATTTTAAATGAACGTGCATTAAACCTTCCTCTCATATAGCTATTAGAGTTTTTTGATTTACATTGCTAGGACTCGAATTATATTAGCTACACATCTTTCTCCAAATAGCCTCTCTGAGCAAGTTCTAATTTAGAACCCCCACTCATGGCCATAGAACTCATGATCATAGTGTCTACTACACATTGTCTATACTTGATTTCCTTCAGTTTGACACATGAATATGAAAATTTTTCTACCTCTTTAATGGGAAGCACTGAGAAGTTACTTTCTACCCCCACACCCCCGCTCCCACACCCACTTCATTGCAAAAACTAAACGATGCCCACTTAAATAGAAATCTCTTTCCTTACTATCCTCTTTATAAGTAGCACTAAAATCGAGTGAACATTATAATGAGATATATATTCTTCACTAATCTAAAGAATTAAAATTTAGATAAAAATGACAAAAGGGACTGCTTTAAATATAAACTCTTAAAAGACTCTTAAAAGTCTTAAAAGTTTATATTGTAGAAAGATAGAAAAATGTATTTTATCATTACAGATATTATTCAACAATCCTTATACAGAAAATTTTCTTTGTTCTTATTATAGACAACACCCCTTCCCCTTCATCTCTGCCCCCTCTGGAAAAACACCATTAATAGCTTTGAAGAATTAAACAAAAGTCAGTTCAGATAAGTCTGAGTTTAGAAAGAACTCATGGAGCATTAGGGAAAAATATGGCACTTTCTAAGTTTTCCTGATTTAGAAATGAGAATTTCACCCCAAATAAGGCAGAATTCTTAGGGAACTGAAATACATCTTCATTTTCTGGCTGAAAGGCAATTTTTTTGTATTATCAGAATTGCAGTCAAGTTTGGTATTAGAAACTTTCATAATCCTAAACAAGGGCATTCTCAATCAATTCAACTTATGTTTGTTTTCTCTCTGAAGGTCACAGACATCATGATCCATCACATGGCCTGGAGTGATACTGTGATATCAAAGAGGTTAGTTACAATGAGATAGCTTACTGAATTTTTGCATTTTCCATGAAAAAATGTTTTAAACAATACAAAATAGAAAATTCTTCCTCTAAAGAGTGGCACAAAACAATTTCTTAACTCTACTTGGATTATTCCTTTTAAACATTTAGTGTAATTACCAGGTTTGGTGGTGTATGCCACTTCTGGGATGAGAGGTATTTTAGGTTTCAAGGAAATAAATTGTGTTTTACTGGGAGCTGAAAAAATAAAGAAACAAAGCAATGAACAATTTTTCGGCATCTTGATTCTAAAACATGAAAAGAAAAACCTAAAATTAAAAATCAATGATCATTAATTGAAAGTGTAATGAACTCATTGGGCTGGAACGATAGCACAGCGGTAGGGTGTTTGCCTTGCACACAGCCAACATGGCCGACCCGAGTTTGATTCCTTCACCCCTCTCAGAGAGCCCGGCAAGCTACCGAGAGTATCTCGCCCACACGGTAGAACCTGGCAAGCTCCCCGTGACGTATTCGATATGCCAAACACAGTAACAACAAAAGTCTCCAATGGAGACGTTACTGGGCCCGCTCCAGCAAATCGATGAACAACGGGAGGACAGTGACAGTGACAGTGAACTCATTGACTTGAAACATTTTTCTCTTCTTCCGTTTTATGTATCAGCTTTTGGGACACACTCAGTGGTGCTCAAGGCTTACTCTTGACTCTGTACTCAAAAATCACTCCTGAATGAGTTCGGGGACAATATAAGTTGCCGGGACTTGAACTCAGGTCAGGAGCATGCAAGGCAAAAACACCTTATCTACTATACTATCTCTTCAGCCCCATCTTGAAAGTTTTAGAAATATTACATTTAGATTATATTTCACAAAGTACAGTTAATGAAAATGCAATGATAAATTTTATTAGGTTTAATACTATATTTAATAAAACATAAATAGCACTGCAACTAGTTACACTAGCTACAAAAAGACTAATTTTAATGCATGACTTAGAGAATTATTGTAATTATCTTGGATCTTTACTTCACATTTTCTAGTCAACATATAAGACTAAACACTAGTGGGAAAAACTTGTTGAAAATATAATATTAATAAGTATAATGCTATTGACTATAGCATATAGAAATTCCACTAACATTATAATAGAAGGTCCTTTTTTACCCAACCAGTTTTAAGTTGAGCTTCGGGGCCTTACCCGCCAAAATGAAGGACTGTATATAAACCCAATTTAAAATAAAAGATTAGAGAGAACATGAGGAAATAACAATGTACTATAGCTTTCTGAGGAACAGAATAGTGTTTACGTATTATGTTTAGATGTCTAAATATATATCCAGCATTCTAAAACCATAAAGGTCATAAACTTGATATTTTCTGCAAGATATTAAATACTGCCCACATGAACTGATTAAAACAGAGGTTGTGACAGTATATAAAACATTGGGTACTGGAGTTTCCACAGTGAAGTGAGAATCACATCTACTAAAGACATATTATTACCCAGTGTTGTTTGTGTAGGATCAGGACTTTTAGTAATTTTAGGTGTAACTCTTCCAGGCTTTGTGGTTCTTTCTGGTGATGGAAAGGAAAAATAACATTAAGAGATCACACATATAAAAGATATCCAAAAGAAATTAAATGAATGACCCATTCGAATTCCTGACCTATTTGGTATACAATGATTAAAGGTTTAGGGAAAGAATTTTTTAAATTAAGTCACAATAATATAAACCACAAAATGTATTCATACTATAATAAGCAAAGCTTAGTTCAATATCACTCTGAATTTATTATTTGACAGTGAATAAAATAACCTCAATGTTAAATTATTTCTATCTTTAAAAGACCCAGTTCTATCATATATATTGCTCCTCTAATTTTTTTATCTGTCCAAACCTATCTGTCTATGAAATACTCTTATTTCCTTTTTTCTGAGTATATATACATGTGTTATCATCTCACAACTACATTGTGTAATGTTTTCTCTCATTGTTTATAACATATTATATTATTACAAACAACTGAAGCTGGAATCATATGTTACCTAGCTCAGTCATTGCCTTGTCAAAAAACTGAAAACTTAGTAAGAAGCAGGAATGCCAATTTTCACTTTAATATGTAGCTCTGTTTCAAAAAATGAGTTACAATATATAATCTCACTCTGTTACACTGACAGTAAGATTTTGTTCCTGATTCAAGCCAAAACCATTCATACAAACGTTACAAAATAATTTTACTGAAAATGTTGATTTTTTGTTGTTTTATGTGACTAATTACTCACAATTTCAAATTTGTAGATAAATTTTTATTAATTAACATTTATTTTAACCATGGTCAGCTGCATATAAGGCAAGTGCTCTAACCCTTGTACTATATTTCTGAACCCCTCCCCACTTTAAAGGAGAAACTCATCCTTCAATCTCCTCATCAGTGTCTTCAACTCTTGCCTCTATGCAGTTTTAAAAATTATTTTTAAATTTCAGGGTTTCAAGCATACAATGACCAATACCACACCTTATACTGCTCCATAATTATGCCACTCCCTGTAAAAAATTTCAAACTATAGAAACATATCACTGCTTTTTATACTGAAGGTTAAAGAAATATTTACCAGGTTTGGTTCTTGGTGGTTTGGGCCTGGGTTTTCGTTTAGGAGTAGAAGGGATAGATGTAGTTTGCAGGGGTGCTGAAAGAAGATTGAATACAGCTTTGATAATTAACATTTCTTGAGGGTCAATTTTGTTTTTATCTGTGTGTACTCTCTGAGTGCAAAAATTGTGCTCTATTTCCTTGTTTCCTTAGAATGCCTAGCAATATCCTGGGCACTCACATAGTGGGCGTTAATTAAATAAGTGCTAACTGGGTCAAAAGGAATTTCTGCAAGACAAATGAAGGTTTGTTATTTAATTAAGGGTCCTGAAGTATAAACATTTTTGAGAAATTTAAAAAAACATATGGTATACTGAGATCACTGTCACTGTCCTCCCGTTGTTCATCGATTTGCTCAAGCGGGCCCAGTAACGTCTCCATTGGAGACTTTGTTGTTACTGTGTTTGGCATATCGAATACAACACGGGTAGCTTGCCAGCCTTTGCTGTGTGGGCGAGATACTCTCGGTAGCTTGCCGGGCTCTCTGAGAGGGGTGGAGGAATCGAACTCAGGTCGGCCATGTTGGCTGCGTGCAAGGCAAACGCCCTACCGCTGTGCTATTGCTCCAGCCCCACAATACTGAGATACAGGGGATAAATATAAATATAATGTTTAGTATTTTGATCGTGAAAAATTAAGAATTTTGTTAATTCTATACCACTCTAGTTAACTCACCAGGAGTTAATGAACCACATTATTTCAATAATTTTGTAAAAACAACACAGGCAGTGTTACCTATTGTTTTTATGTTCAGGACTACAAAGCTAACTTGGTGTTCTTTATACTTAGATTATTTTGAAAAAAAAACTTAAATAAGGAAAAGGAATACATCTTAAAATAATCATCTATACTTTGGGTAGAACCCTGTTACTACTTCTGGTTGGTAATGTTGATAGAAATATAGGAAGGAAACCCTTCTCCCAACTAGTTAGACACCAAGATAATTTCATGGTAGAGAATTAAGTGATATGTTTAGCACCAAAAAAGTTCTGAAAAGCTCAATATGACTGATTATTTTTTTTTGTCACGATAACAGTTCTTTTAAAAGATACAAGTGTCATTAGTTACCAGATGTTGTAGCTTGCATTTCAGAACTGGTAAAGATTTCCACTTTTTCAGGCACCATTGGTGTTTCACTTGGAGCTGAAAACATAAATACCACATCCCAGCAAGTAATTCCAGTTAAAATTGGCTATTTGAAGACCTTCAACATGCTTTTAGATGGAGTTATGGAGTACATGCTGCAAGTATATGATAAAGAATGAAAAAAATGCTCATAGTCAAAAGCTGGTGGATGAAATGACAAATTAGACTGGGGAAAAAGTAAGAGATGACTCCAGTGCATGGAAGAGAGGTGACATTGGTTACAAACACAGATGGAATTGGTGAAGAAGATGTCCATGCAGTTTCAAAACTTTCATTCCTTTAAGGATGGAAAAGATATTTGTTATACTTCAAAAAGAAAAAAGAGCCCAAAATGAAACACAAAAGATTCCTTCATTATAGGAAAAAAATCAATATACATTCAGAAGCAGGAAAGAAATAGGTGTGATAAAATTGTCATTTGAAAGAAATGCATTCACATCGCTTTTCTTTTGATGGAAAACAAAGTGCAATTTTCTGTTAAAAACATTACCCGGTGTTGCCTTTGGCTGTTCAAAAGTTCTAGAAGTTTTAGGTGGGACAGAATCCAGAATATGATCACTTGTTGCTGTTGGAACAAATGTCAACATTTAAGAAAGCAGTAGAAGGCCCCAGGAATAAAATACAAACTCATGAGTAATAAATTATGCCTTGTAGAGGGAAAAACATCAAGAACATTAGTAATGAATGCCAATGGTTTTAAATTAGTTTCATTAGAAGTTGATGAACCCAGTTTAAAATATATATATATATTTTAAATCACGATAAAAGTGTATTTTATATATTGAACTTGATTTCAGCTTTTTACCATTTAAGTGCTAAGTGAAATTCTCAGCTTTTTAATTTTATAAACTTTCTACTGATGTTTAAAGTTATTTACATTTATCATAGTACAAATAAAGCCACAGGGAAAAAAGTAGTCACATAGCAATGTCTGACAGAGAGCAATCTTAATGAGTTTGAATCACTTACAAATTCTCAGTTTAGCAGGTGCTTATTAAATGCTAGTTAAAATGAATTATTGGACTGAGCTAAATTCACAATAAAATGGATCAGTAAATGAATGCCAGTGCTGAACAAATTCAATGGAGAATTCTATGGATAAATTTATAAACTTCTGTGAGCAAATGAATGACATAATTTTCTATAATAAGATTTTATCACTTCAGCGTTATTGAGCTTTAGGACTGGGTAATTCATTCTGCGTGTGTGTAGATGTAGGGGTGCGTTTTAAGTTGGGGGTTAGCCTGTTTGTAGTAGTTCTAGGAGTGTCACTAGATGTCAGTATCACCTCCTCCAGTTGAAATAACTGAAATATGTCTCTGAATAATCCCAAATGTTCTTGGAGGGAAAGAAAAGTCATGTTCCTCCCCTGCCTTAGAGAACTAATAGAAAAATTATCTCCAGGATGCTAAAATATTTTTAGTATTTTGCATAACTGAGCAACCATTCATTGCATTACTTTGCCTTCGTGGCAGTTTATTTATGAATGGAGGTGAAGACACAATCACTCAATGGGGCGAGTGGGTAAAATTCATTTGCCTGACACAGATTACAATTGTTCTCCTACGGAGCTTTAGGGAGCTCTCTTTCTCACTCTGCAAAAAGAAAAGGGCAAACTAGGTGCAGCAATGTAAGAACACCAGGGTCCTCCCTAACCACCATCCCCCTTAAAAATAGGATTGAGAGGTAAGGTGTACCTGTGTGGGGTTCTGATGCTTCAGGCTCATCTGGTGTCAGAGGACTTGAGTAAACATCGTAAATTGCTTTTCAAAAGAAAAAGTAAAATAAAAGAGATGTTAATTTGGAAAGATGTTATGACATCTAAATGGTGCCTTGAGGCCACTTCTATGGAGGTGTAGCAAGTGTTGGCTGTGGGCTGCCAGTTTCAAGACTGATGTGGAAACAATCATGGACACTGGCTTTTGATCTTTCTTGCCCTGAAATAAATGCCAGTATCACTGCCTCTGGGGTGGTGTGAGAAGAGTGCTATATATTTACAATGAACTCTGAACTCTGCCAGCAGGAACATCAAAGGGCTTCAAAGTATAAACATAAGCAGACTGGGATGGCAATTTGGGGAGAGAGTTCTAAAGAGAAAGCACTCATCACACAAAGCGATTTTTTACAAAGTCTTTTTGTGTTGTGGAATTTATCGTCATGTTAGCTTACATTTAGATGGCACTTTACCCTGTGCACAGTGCTTTCTCATATATTTTCTGAATTGGGGACAGTAAGCACTGTCCCAAATTTCTAGATAATGGGGTGTTATCTTCATTTCACAGATAAAGAAGTTCATAACAGTGAACTCATTTGTTTGTGGTCACACACTGGGCTTATTAAGTGGTACTGAATTCCCACTCCTTTGGCATGGTCAGGAGGAGAGTAACAACTAGCATGTCCTTGTACCATGAAAGTTTGCTGCCATTTTATGAAAGGTAGATTTGTTTCTGTGTTTCTCCTCAGAGACTTTAGCCCTTCTAAAATCTAGGCAGATTTAAAGAAAGCTTTACATTCAGATGAAATAAAACAGGGTAACCATAGAAACAAAGGTTGTTTGAATACAAGATTAGTTGTTATGGTCATGTAAGAGTTGAGTTTGTAAATGAAAAATAGCACCACAATTTAAAACATTCTCTTTTCTGCCCAAACGGTTGTCAGTATATAGTAAGACAGGGGAGGAGAAAACATAAACTGTTAAGAGGTAGATTATTTTTTCTTCTATCATTCTGTACAGAAATCAACCAAGAGTGGGAATCTCAATGGAGGATTTACTCATTGGGGTTACTTTTAATTCAGTGACAACCTAATGCTTCTGAACCATAAGAAAGACTATCAAACTGAAGGGCACTGAAAAATGGAGAAGGCTCTTTATGTTGTACCACATACTGAAAAGTCCAGAAAAAAAGATTCCAGTTTGGGAAGGTGGATCTACTACTGCTTTGCAAAAGTCTTCAAAATCAGAAAGAATATTGAGTTTCAATATGCAAATATACTGAGAGTAAATCCATCATATTGTAATATAAAAGTTTCTTTAGCCTAGCTACAATGTTATTTTTTGGTTTTTGATTTTTTGGTGGAGCAAGATAGTTTTTATTGAAAGAACTCAGCGTAGGGAGATGTGAGGAGAGAGAAAGAGAGGAATAGGTATTCAAGAGAAAACATGGACTTCTCTAAAACCTGTGAGCAGAGACCCAGAGAAAAGCAAGCGAGATACGTGGTCGAGGGAGAACACCGGCTTGAAGAGTAAGCAAGCCTCGCTACAGTTTTAAAGAGTAAAACAAGAATGGGTTGGAGCGATAGCACAGCAGGTAGGGCTTTTGGCTTACATGCAGGCAACCTGGGTTCAATTCCACCTGCCCTCTCGGAGGGCCAGGCAACCTACCAAGAGTATCTCGCCTACACGCCAAAGCCTGGCAAGCTAACCGTGGCGTATTCGATATGCCAAAAACAGTAACAACAAATCTCACAATGGAGATCTTACTGGTGCCTGCTCAAGCAAATTGATGAACAATGCTAGGACAGTGCTACAGTGCTAAAACAAGAATGAGTGCCAAAGGCCAAGAACGCAGGTGGTTGCTGATCTCAGACTTGCTTTAAGCCAATTTCAAGTCATAGCTCCAGGGGATTCTATTTATTACTAAGTAGGTCTATTAGAAAAATTTAACCACCTCTTATTTCACTCTTATATTCTGGGTGAGAAATTATGTATAGCTTGACTTCTTTATTTTATTGCTTTGGAAAAAATGCCAGGACCATCTATTGCCCTAATCCCATTTCTCTTACATCTAGTGACACTGGATTCACTTCCTTACTTTCTATATTAATTTTGTTATCATTTGTTCGGGGGCCACACACAGCAGTGCTCAGGATTTACTCATGGCTTGGTGCTCAGTGATCATTCCTGGCTGACTCAGGGGACCATATGGGATACTGAGGATCAAATCTGGATTGGCTGTGTGTAAGGCAAATCCCTACCCACTGCACTATCTTTCTGACCCCACATTCTAAATTCTTTGTATCAAGACATAATATTGGCCCACTCTCATGGTGCTTCTTTTATAAATGTACAGTCATCATCCATTCTACAGTTTTTAATCTAGGACCCCATTTTCCCTAAACTTATTCCCAGAAGGTATTTTTAGGTGGGGGGAAAAAGTCCTCCTTCCATCATTGTATGTTGCTAAATTGTTGTTGGTTATATATTTGTTTTACTTAAAACTGATTAGATGCAAAGTTGATCATAAAAATGCTCTATTACTGCTCTGGAAATATGATAGCATACAAATAAGATATTCCCAGGGATCAAGAATCTTTTTTGGGGGGGTTGAGAGAGAGACTATAGTAGATTGGCACTTGCCTTACAGAGTGCTGATGTACCACATATGGTCCCCTGAACACTGTCAGGAATGATTCCTGAGTACAGAGATAGAAGTAAGCTCCAAGCACAGTCAGGTGTGACCCCAAAGCAAACAGACAAAAAAATATATCATTTTACTTTATTCAAATCAATGAATATTAGTAATTGTGACAAAATTATTTTTAAACATAAATTCTTAGATAAAAGGCCTCAAAATTTGTAAGCCTATAACTGTACCTCATGGTTTTTCACTAATAAAAAAAGGAAAAAAAATAAATAAATAAAAATAAATAAATAAAAGGCCTCATAAGGGCAGAACTTGTTTCTGACATGCTTATTATAAAGTCATAGGTTTATTTATCCCAGAATCTGAACATGGTGGTAGAAATTAATCAGCAAGATGTCCATTGTAATGAACAAATAAAAGTGATGATGGTCAGGAAGATTATGTATATTCTTAGAATACATAATAAGGTTCCTTATTGTATGACATTCATATATGGGTATACAAAGGTCTTTCCTTACATGTGCTTGTGTGCTATACCCTGGTATGGTAAGAGAATCCTAACATATAAATATTATATTATATATTAATTATATATATAAATTTGTATAAGATATGTATCTCTATTGTATATAAGACATAGAGACAGACACACAGACATACGTACATATATATATATATATATATATATATATATAAAGGATGACACTGGAACACTGGTGCTAATTTCATTGATTCCTCTAGCATCAACAGAAGTATAAAGCTAGAAATCATATAATACTGCAAGCCAAAAATAAATCTGTTTTTTAAAAGAAAATGAAAAAAGCAGCAATGGAAAAATATAACAGGACTATAAATAACTATCTGTATGAAAAGAACATTTATAAAAAAACACACACTGAGATCTCAATATCATTTAAACAAATAAATGCTTTCTTCAGTTCGTGGAAAAATAAAGTATCTTTCTGGTTGACCTTAAAATCTGTGAAACTATTGCCTGCAAGAAAATACTCATTAAGCAAAACTAAAGGCTAAGAGGAAAAAGTCTCTAAGAGTCCACGATCAATCTGCAAACCATTTGCTACACTTAAATTCTATTTTCCGGCTTTGAAAATATCAACACTACCACTCATTTCTTGTTTTTGTTTACTCTTGGGCTTAATCCTGTTGGGTGGGCCAGTCAACACCTCACAGGAGGGTAATGAGGTCTAAATGTTGAGATCAATCCTTTTTAACTAGTGGTCAGAGATGTCTCACCATTATACCAGTATTATTGTGTATAATTCACTATAGCTCTGTAGTCAGAAAATGAATTTATAGAGTTTTTATATTTAAGTAAAACATAACAATTTCCTAAAATCCTACAAAGTATTGAAAGAACTGAATACCAAAAATAGGTTTAAATGCTTGAAATAATACAATTAACTTTAAATAATTTTAAAATAACTATGAAAAACACTTCTTTAAGTGAATTCTAAGGAAAAGACTGAGGCTGGACATCCTAGGATTTCTGTCAAGTGTCTTGAAGGATAAGTGTTTATTGCTCGAGGGGAAATAATTATATCAGTAGATGTTGTCTCAGTAATAAATACAACACTGTTGGAAGAAAGAATATCAGTTTTTCTAGACTCATTGGGAAAAGAAGACATAGAAGAGTTTTCTAAGAATAAAAATAAATAAGTTTTCCTAGGCCATACAAAGATACCTGATTTGATTTGAACTTTAAATCTTTTCTGTTACTAAATAACAATATTTTAAAGCATAATCAGGCAAATTAAGTATTCTTAACATTGATGGCATCAGGAAGCTAAAAATAAAATATTTCATCTTCTCCCTATAACCACAGAAGGACTTTAGAAACCATGCATATGTCTAATCTGGATAGGAGGAGAAGAAGGAGGTGATAAATAAATGGCATTCTATTTTCTATTTTGCTGTTGTTTTTTTGGGGCATGAGAGCCCACACTCAGAAATACTCAGGGCTTGCTCCTGGCTTTACGCGCTTATGATGCCTGGGAGACAACACGTGGCATTGGGTATCAAACTGGGGCTGGCCATGTACAAGGTAAGAATATTAACCCCTGTACTATCTCTCTGGCCCTAAAAAAAATAGTGTGCTCTTTATGTCGGCTGAATTACTTAAGTGATTTAAAAGTGTTTATAAGGTACAACTCAATAAAAAGTTACCCATAATCTCTATTTTTTTAAGGGGAAATAGGTTCTCAAAGTTAAATCACTTAGTCTATAGTCACATAACTGGTAAATAAATTATGCTGGATTTTAACCCAGTTCTCAGCTATAGCTTAGATTAGCAAGTACACTTGTAGCAAAAATGAACTTCAAGGACTGGCCAATTTTTTTCCCCCACAGATAAATTAGAATTTCATGGAAATATAGGTACT